CAGTGCTGATAACCAATGGGAAAGTATTGATAAAATGCATTGATACTGAAATCTTAAAGTTTTCACATTTTTCAAACATTTAATCTTTGATTCTTTCAGTAGATTACTCTTTAATAAAAATCTTAAAGGAATGGAAGATTCATTCCATTTACATCCTTTGATTAGTGAAGGTATAGCAACAATCCATTCATTAGAATGTACAAATTCTAATTGCAAATTAGACCGTCGAATATGCAAGAAAAATTTAAAGATTAAAATTGGAAATTAGTGAAACAGATTTCGAAGAGAAATTTATATTTATATTTTCTGATATGAATCATTCCGGAATTCATAAAACAAAGAAAAATTTCAAGAATTCTTTGCGAAATGATCGTGTGGAATGCAACAAAATACAACATTAGACGATTATTTACTATCTATAAAAGCTTAACGGACCTTTTTATCGATGATTTAAAGTGAACTAAGAAAGATTCGATCGTCTGTTTGAAAATCAAGGCTGATAAAGAATTTTGAAGGATGGATGGAAGAACATGATTTGAGTCTTTGAGAAATAGAACTGATTTGGGAACCTGGTGTCAGTTATTCATTTTTTTTTGTCAGTTACAGATTAGTTGTTCTTCAGAAAGTTCTGAAATTCCTTGAATCCTTCAGCTTCGACTACTTTTTCCTTGATAACTTCAACTGAAGCTTAATTTCAACTTTCTGGATAAGTAAAACAATGTAACAATGTAATTGTGTGTAGAAAATTGTCATATAAGAAGTATCTTCAACATTTTTCAATGATTGTGCACAAATTACAATGAAGAATACATGTCTTTGATATAATTTGAAAGGTCTTTTTTCTCTAATAATTTCAAAATGTTCGACGATTTATTAGTAAATGAAGTTGTTCAAATTGGGTAATGTACTTACCTTTTTCATCTGTTCGATTTTTCTCAATGAAACTTTCGATAATCAGATGAAACATGCATTTTAATTCTATGATTCATTCATTGATCAGTCTGCGAGGTTACTGAAAGGATAATTAATAGCGGCATCATGTTTTTGACATGAGCTTTCAAGTGTGATAATTTTTTGATAATTTTATTAATAATTTTTGCGGATAATCTTTGTTTTCGCGTAATCTTGGAGTGTTAGGTTGCTAAATGCTTTACTTCTTCAGAAATGCTTTCTTCTTTCTGTTTCCTTATATAACAAATCATCCATGCACAGCCGATAAAGGAGGATATTATGATGATAACATGAAATCTTTCTCAAATATTTCACACTTATTTTAAAAATTTCATTCCTAATTCAATATGTAAATGATTTAAATTCTATTAAATTCTATTCTATTTTTCATCCGTCTTCAAAGAAGTTTTCCGGAAAGTTCCATAAATTCTGTAAGAATGAACGGCTGACTGTATTTACAGTTTTCATATTAGCCTCATCTTGCATTTCAAGTGTATTGGAGAAGCAGAAGTCGAAACAGCTACAATTGTGGATCTTCGCCATTTTCTGAATCGTCTGAAAATGAACTGTTCATTATTTAGAACTTCTATCAGTGATAAGGATCTCAAGAGATAAAGGAAATAACTCGGCTAGAAGATGCAATCCAACAGAATCCAATGGATTTCCATTTTCAACTGCACCACGAGGGCTTCAATTAGGGACAAAGCATCTTTTGGGATTGCATGGGAATTGAATTTCAGATTTGATTTGAAAAACTACTAGAGAGGTTAAAACAAACTTATTAATTTTTTTGGATTTAATTTAGCTTAGTTTTACTTATGATCTGATTATAATTAAATTATTGTTATAATAATAATCGAAATTATGCATCTGTTTAAGTAACTGTAAAAGATCTTTCCGAGATGCAATGATTTGGCATGAATTTTTTAATAAAGTATAAATTTAACAAATGAAATCTAATTAGATTTGCATAACATTAAAATTTTGAATTAGTAAAGTTAAATAGCACGCGAAAAAATCTGGATAAAGTCAAATAATTAAGTTTAATTTAATGTAAGGTCACAACAAAATTTTGATGGATATAGCTTTAGATAAAATTCAATGATGCTGCAAAATAAACTCTAATTAAGAACTAAGTAATTGGTTGAAATTCAATTTAGAACAAAATAAGGAAATTAGAGCAAGGTAAGAACTCTAAGCTAAGTCAATTAATTAAATCAAATGTAAAGTTTCCTTTTCGCGAAATTTTCGTTGCAATGCATGAAATAATCCTTACAACGAAATCCGTGAGCGCATTTGGCTTGCTGCCAATTTTTCGCTAGTGATTTTATGGGAGTCGTAAGTTGGGGTGGGCTCGATTTTGCGCCGGATCCACGTGCGGCTACATAGTTTACGTCGGAGAAAGATGTGTTGTGATGTTTTCAGAACAAGCAGACTGTCAGCTGTGTATGATTACATAAATGTTGCCTTTTATTCTTGAGCTGAGTTTGATATTTTTGCAATTTTAAATTGAAAGGTTTTCTACTTGAAAGTTTAAGGTGCGGAATACATTAAGCCAGATTGTGTGTATTATGAAATATGGGGAAAATGAGATCTCTAGGTTGGCATAAATTGACTTCGATTACTGTCAAAGTATTAATTGGGTAATGGAACTGTATTTTTTTATCTGTAAAGAAATGTGGTGCATCAATCCATGTGAATTAATGGATATATTGCAGTGAAAAGGATAATTATTGACAGTCTTTTGATATGTACGAATTAATGGATATAAGTAATCGTTGTAGTAATTAGATTGCTCGAAAATAGTACGAGTATCACCAACAGTGATCTATATAATCTGTTAACAGCGGTTGTCCAAACTTCCTAACAAATTTTAGATTACTGTTGCTGAAATTCATATGTCAATACCCAATGGTTCTCATTTGTTTTCAATTTTGCTTGTGAGGAAGTCAAGAAATGGAATTTATTACAGATCTATGAATTTGACTGTAGCGACCAATGAAGTAAATCAGTACTGATACAGAAGTTGTAAAAGAACTGGGAAGAGTACTGATGTCAGCATACAACGGTTTCAAAAACCATGTAACTTTATCCAGACATCCAGCTCGAGGTGAGAAGAGTACTGACATTTACAGGTTTTATTTAGAACCATTCAGCATTTTTTTGAAGATTCTAGACTGACTTCGTGGATTTTCCGTTAATGGAATTGTTTTTTTCAAAGTCTTACTCATTAAAGTTGTTGATCAGGCAATACAGTATTACTTCTTATGTTTATGGTATTAATTCCAAGGAAATTTTACATGTCGTATTCGCAAAAATCAATTATAACATATTTAATTTTTCTTCTAGTCAGAGATTTTGAAAAGCATTCTTTGAGTTTTAATCAGCATGCTGTTAACGATTGTCAAATGACTTGAAAAAAGGAAATTTTTAATTCGGTTTATTTGGAGAATCTACTTTTTATGGTCTCATTTTGAGCATTTCGTCAGAGTTTTTATTTTTTTTTTTAACTCATTTATTATTAATAATAATGTTTTATTGACGACCGATTGCAGATCTATATGATGATTGTACCATGGCAGTTAATTCATATGATTGCGACTACAATAAGCCATACTCGCCAGAATCTTTGGAACATGGTAACGAAATGGACACATTAACTTATACGCCATCACCAGTCCAGCATTACGCTACCGCTGTTGCCACATTATCTAATTCTCCGGGAATGCAGCTGGATGGCAAAACTGATCACAAACTTTCGTCATCAAGTGTTATTATTGATGTGGACGATGGTGGTGATAATAATTCGTCCCGTAGTGATTCACCGAGTTTTAAGGCTTCTTTGCAAACTACGGTATTTTTGTCTTGAAATATGGAAATAAGACAAGCCTTTGCTAAGATATCGAAATCTTTCTTACTAGGAATCGAGTTTGAATGTACAAATTAAGATTTAATTTTAATTAAAATGACATGTCAGGAGATCGAAGAAAATGAAAAAGTGATGGGAGAAGAAATTGAAGTAGACGATGAAGGTTTGGAAGAAATCATAGCTAATGTTTTGATTGAACAACTGACTGGTGGAAGTGAAAGTGAAGTGCGACGTCGGCCGTACAATTCAATCGGACCGGATTGTGATGAACTGCGAAATATGCTTGCCATTGCTGTGCGACAGGAAAAGCAAGCTCGGGAGCTTAGGAAGGTATTAATGCATTTATTTCTGCTTATTTCAGTCTTCTGAAACTTTGCTTCTTGTAAAGAATCTTTGTGGTTTCTACTTTTATTGAAGATACTCATAATTGTTGGATGGTGGGAATATTTAGGATTATATGACAAAAGTAATCGTAATTACAAATTATGACTTTTTATCGATTTTGGAAAACGAAATTTTTTTCCATTTTCTAATTTTTTTAATTTCTATTTTTTCCCATCAGACAGACATCTTTGTTACAGAAACGATCTCATATGTCTGGTGTTGGCTGGCTAATTTCAAAGTTATTCTCCATAAATACATCTGCAGAAATCGGGAAAAAGGAAAGAGTTGTGCTTGATCGATATGGTCGAAAAGTGGAAACCAGCAAGAAAGAAAATCAACCGAGGAAGTGGGTGTATCACCCAGAAATTGTTCGTGCAAACGGTAGTTGCTGGCTTTGAACTGGTTTTGTCAACTAACTGCTATTTATTCAGTTTCAGTTAAATCTATAATTAAAAATTTTATTATTGTTACTCCAAATGATGTATTGAGTTCACAAAAGTCTTTAATTTCAGCGTCGTCAGATATAACGACATTTCCAATAAGACTTCAAGACGGTGTTCTTCTTAGTGAACTTCCACCTCCTCCACCTCATCCTACAGTCCCAGATGAGGTTCGACGATTTTGCATTGAAATTTGTAAAATGTAAGGATTGTGCTGTCGGTTTTTTCTAATCCATGTTATAAGATGATCCTTTCAGATACGGAGAGCCGTACGTGCTAAAATGGTACGATGCAAAATTTGTAAAAATCGTTTTATTGAAAAAAATTTATATGAACGACATCTGCGCGATCGGCATTACACCGAATATTTGGCATATTTAATACAACAAGAAGAAGAGATCGCTGAACAAAGGTCTTTGAACTTAAGGATTTCTGGTTAATTGTATGAAATGTCTAGCTGTAAAAATATAATTTGAAACCTACAGTCTGGTGAAAATTTCAGACAAGCTGAGCTTGAAGCAAATCGAATTGAGGAACTCGCAACGGGAGGTTACATTCCACCGGAACGTGAGATAGATGCTGAATCTTATGAAGTTGAAGTTGACAAGTAAGACACTTGTTTTAAAGTTATACTTCTGTTGTTGATTGAAAAAACTTTTAAATTCCTTGTCCTTCATTTTTTCTTCTTTGTCACCAAATTTTATGCTTTTTCCATCCTATATTTCGCGCATTACAATATTCCGTGATTTTTTCAGGATTCCGCTGCCTGGTGAACTAAGTGGTGGTATTCCAGCACGTTTTGATCGACATGGTTTCTTACGTCAACCAAAACGTTCCTACAAGAAAAAAGTAAGAATATCTCGGCTCTCATTGTTTTGTTACTAATTTCTAGAACTATCTAAATTTAAATTTAAGGAACTCAGATTCGTTGTCGCGTCCTTTTTCAGGTTTCTCCACAATGTCCGTTCTGTGACAAACGGTTCAGGAACGAAGTTTCTTTGAAGAAGCATTTTGTGAAGAAGCATCCAGAAACCATTGATTTTGTTCAGTGTTTACGTTGTTTTAAAGCAGTGAAAACGAAAAGCGAATTATCAGCGCATGAATGTGACTTGGTAATTAACATTTCTAGAGAGGATTTTAGGCATACTTCTAGAAAGTGCATGAATTTTGTAAATTACCGGTGCATCTACTAATCAAGGAAGTGTTAAGATTCAACTAACTAAGCCGCACTGATATCATGTCGAAAAGATTTTGATGAGCGGAATATATAATGAGGACGAGGAAAAGACATGGTGTTCCATATAAGACAGATAAAAAAGTGGTCGTAGACAGATAATTTATTTCTGGTTTTATCCAAAGTTTAATGAATAAGGAGGAGACTGAGCAGAGGAGACTTAATGGATCTTTTACTTCATAGCTTTACTTTCAGACGTTTATCTGCTTTGAATGTACACCACTGAGGAATCTTTGCACTCAGCAAAGATTGCTCAATCATCGAGCAAAGTTCCACCGTGGTGTAAATTCAGGTTTCAAATGTAACATGTGTGCGTTGAAATTCCTTACACCGCGAAAGCTCAGGAAGCATAAGAAAATGGCTCATGTTTTCACGAAAACTTTCCCTTGCCACTTTTGTGATGAGTTATTCACAAGCGAATGTTCGGTCGGTTTTTTTCTATACAAAATTTCGTTTGGAAGAAAGGGATGGTTCAGCTTTGAACTGTAATATTTCTCAACTTAAAAAAAGATGGCAATTTTGCCTAACGAATTCAAGTATAAATATTGAAATGCGTAATTGCAAACTTGAAGGTGACAACGCACGAACGTATTCACACGGGTATAATCAAATTTGAATGTCGAATCTGTGACTTCAAGTGCAATCGTTTTGTCTGGATGGAAGAACATCAAAAAGAAGAGCACGGCTATATTTGTTCCGTATGCCAGCATAAATGTGCCGAATGGGGTGCGCTTAAAGACCACACATTGCAGGAGCATGGTGGTTATTTGACCAGTGAGTCGAATGCAGGTTTGACATTTGTCTTTTTTCATCTTTTGACAATTTTGTTGCTTTTTTGTGATATAGCTCAAGTGATAATGACGATGATAGCAATCCGACAGAAGGCAAGGAATTCACCATCGGTTTTCTTTTCTTTTTTTTGTAGCTTCAATTCGCTTAATGACGTTATTGTTTAACATTTCAACGTATTTTGCGGATATGGATAGGTGAAAGCGGTATTTTAGTTGTCTTAGAAAGGTTCTCGACAGATTTGAGCGTATTAAAACGCGTAGAAATTTATGTTATTGAGAATCTCCAATAATGTTTTTTTGCCCAATGTAAGTAATTGTTCAATAATCTGAAAAAATTAAGGCAGATTGATTTTCTTTATAAGGATAAGAAATTTCAGTTAAAATTTGACAAGTTAAAAGCTGAATTCCAAAAATAGAAGTCTGCTTGTGAAGAAACACATACATTCATAGAAACATGCACACACAAACACAAGAGTGAGCTCTTAAAGATTTCCTGTACGATTGATTGCAGAAAACGAAAAAATTTATCTGAATGTATACTGCACCTTCACATATCAAGTTATAGTGTGATATATTCTTTCTATGAAAATAAATAAAAGATTGGTATTATGATGTTTGGTTTCTTTATTGGTATGTATTTGGCACATTGGCGCTCCACTTCATATTGCTTTTTCGTATTGTTTCTTTCAAATAATTTTCCATTTCTGGACATTAATTAAACCTTTCAGGTTATATCGATAGCCCACGTGTGTGGGTCATGTATAAGGGCGAATAAAAGCGCTGGGAATTGAAACGCCAGCTCAAAAGTGATAAGCTGGGTCAACCTTCACGTAAGCCACATTGGCTTAATTTCTTTTGCAGATTGCAATTTCGGAATACTTTCTCATTTTTTTATTGTGTTATTACGTTTATTTACGTCGTCGTCATTTTCTTGAACTTAACAAGTCAGAATTTGGGGACATCAGTAACAAGTCAGAATTTGGAAATGTCAATATGTAAGGTTTGGGTCGATTTCACTTTGGTTTTGCGCTTGCTGCAACTGAGGTAAATGTGCTTAGCTTTCAGGATTAGATTTGTTTAGATGTCTTTTTCATTTGTTTATATGATCACATTATTTGCACAAAATCCGAGTAAGTACCTTACTTTGCTGTTGCACCATAGTTCCTTGAATTAGTAACGTATTCATCACATATGTTTATGCATATTCTTTTGTATGGAGATGATATGCTTGCCTGAATCAAAATACATCATTTTTCGCACGTGATAGAGTAGGCTTAAGATCATGCGTACCTATGTGTATTGATCGTCTGAACATATCGGGGAAAATAACGAATATTTGTCGCATTTTATCATCGGTTCTGAATGTATTTCTTCATTATTTCAGAGTGTATGTTGTAATTGTCATTGTTTTCGTGCTGATTACATTGTTATACTCTGAAATCAAACTTGCAAGATCTGGTGGTAAAGCTCGAAATAGTAAACCAAATAAAAAGTAATAGTAAATTTGACGAGAACATATTGTGAAGAAAGTGATATATCTGGCAAATCAATGTGGTAATGAGAGAGTAAAGTTTTTTCATGTTATTCGTCATACGTCATTAAAAAAACCGTCCTAAAGTAACTGCTTTAGGAAATGGCGTGTGATTCGGAATCAGAAGAATTATGCTCTTGATGAGAACGAAATTTGAGAATGCTGTTGTGCCTGATTCTGTTTGAAGGAGATGAAGTGCTTGAAAAATTTCTGTATTTTGTGCGTGACAACGATTACGGGATTTGCATGTTGACTTCGTTACTAGCACGCTGAAAAAATGAATAGATGTATACAAGACGATTTTTGCAAATGGATTCGTGAGAGAGTACATGGTAATACTGTTAATCTTGACAGCTGGATGTCAATACCCGTTAATTTAAGTGGAGCGGAATGATATGGAATCTAATAATGATGAGGCAAGAGAAATGATACGTCTCTATGAGCGTCAAAATGAATGAGAGTGAATATTTTTCCGTTGTTTTGGAATACATTGCATATCATATCTAAATTTTACGATGTTGAGTAGACTAAAATAGTACGTATGGTGATAGCACTGTAGAGGAATGTCGCTAAGTGGCGGTAACTTTGCAACCTCGTTTAAAAGTATGGAATTGAGCAAATCGGTAGTTTCGATAGTTTCAATTGAGGATGAATTAAAGTAGGAATATAGCTGAAGGTAAGTGGTTAGCCTGCTGCATTTCATGGCATGTATTTCAAGAATTCATTTGCATGGGTTAAGAGATGTTTATATAATTCATTTACAGTGATTGGATGGTAATCATTATTAAGGTTAGTGTAAATTGTTCTATCTCCTACCATAATTTTCTCAATACTATAAAATTGGTTTAGAATTTTACAGTGCAGATAATTAGATTCTGTATTTGAAGGACTCATTTACCTCATCAAGATTGGAGAGCAAGACACCTTTCGATAGTCGTAGTAGTAAGTACTATCGTATGCATCCAAAATGTGCAGTAGTGTAAAGTATAGCAAGATTTCCTAACATCATCGTACCATGTGGCAGATAAGTTCATGCAGTCTCACCAGGAAACGAGCCTGCCATTTTGATTGGAAGTCGGAGTCCCACCTATTGCGCCGCAAGGCGTAACATCAATTATAATTGTTGGCTATGATTCTAATTTTAAATTCAAAATCATCATTGAAATTTTAAAGAAATGTCACAAAAAAAAGATGTGGCCATTAAATTGAATCCAACGCAGAAAAGTGCCATATTGTTAGTAATATTTCCAAAATGATAAGAAATTAACAATACACAATCCTCCAATTTATAAAAATAAAAGACAAACATTATGTTTTTACAATTAGTATGAATCGATCAAATTAATAATAGTACTAAATATTAATTTGTTCGAGCAAGTTGAAATAGTAATTGTAGATGATTTCTTGGAAATGATTTTGTGAGTGTAACTATGAACAGTGTCCCGATTTTTTTAACCTGATACATTTGAAATTTTATTTTCTTAACAATATGGATAATAAGTGGAGAAGGGAAAAAATATTAAGTATCATTCAATCTTGTTTTTAAACTTAATAATAAATTGGTTTCATCAATTTCAATTACTATTTTATAATGCATAAAAATGCCTTGGCAACAATTTATCATTGATTGCACATTATGACAGTATCAAGTACTGTGCTTCAACTAATTATCTAGCAAAAATTGTATATTTGATTTAGACCTCCGTACATTTTTAGTTTAAATTGAACTAATTCTACTTCGGCTAAGTAGAATTAGTTCAATTATTCAATATTATCAGCAGAACTAGGAATAACGTTATTTGTGTATTAACATTATCCCAATCTCAAAATTCATTTTCCTATCTTACCTATCAATGATATTAATACTGATATATACATGCTAATCGTACCAATTTTTGAGAAATATGTTTCTCATCTCTTAACAGTTCCAATTTAATCTGAAATTTACACAAGAAAATCTCTTCCTTTCTCTTCTCCTACTCTGATCCTCATTTAATCAATCTATACTTTTTTACAGTTTTGAATTGTTTTCTCTTATAATCACAAATTATATCTTCCTTCCTATGTCTATATGTTCTACAAGTTAAAAGTTTAATAAAGACGTCATCGGAATTTATCAATTTTGTAATGAAAAAATCCGATAAACTTACCGCGATCACCATTATAAATGTCTTATATCACATCATAGAGAAATTATTTAACATGAAATGAGCTGATTTACCCGTCATAATATTTCACCTAACTAAATATTTAGTCTTATGATATATGGTCAGTTAAATGGAAAAAGATTAAAGTTTTGAATTTTTATATCCGATACTTATTTGAATACGGATCCGGCTTTTGTCAAAGTAAGGTACTATAGATATTTCGCAAAAATCAAATTAAAATATTTATTGAATTGAAACATTTACAAAATGTTGTAAAATGTGTTAAGCATGAAGTAAACGCAATTACATCGTAAACATCAATATGATCAACAATATGGAAATACTTCAGGTTAGTGTACTACAACTGTCCACATTCCGAAATTACTATATCAGCCGATGTTCGTCCACTCTGAGATCCTTTACTTTCGATTGCCTTCACAACACTCATACCTTCTATTACACGACCAAATACCACATGCTTTCCATCCAACCTATAAAATATACACATAAATTAATTTGAGTAGATAATTTGTTTGAAGTTTAAAAAAGTTACGTCTTTAATTTTGCAGCTGGATATATTTGGTATGATTTCATAAGCTTTTCAAAGTATGAGCTTATTTTCCTAAATTATCCAAACCATTTCAATGATTTTTTTACGTAGCAAGATGGATGTCTTTCAAGATAATTTCTCAATAGCGGCTTAGACAACGAGTGAAAATTTCTCTCTTGCCTTTAAATAGCCTATAAAATGAACGAAAGATTCTATCAAAAAATTATCGAAAAGGAGAAGCATTTACAGCAAGAAAAAAATTTCTCTTCTGCTAAAACGATATGTTAATGTGCCAACAGACGTATAAGCCACAAGGTTATTCAGTAATCGAATTTTTGACCTCAAGATGTTATTATCAAAAAAGATTGAAAATAAGCTTACCACTCTGTTTTTGTGGCACAGATGAAAAATTGTGAACCGTTAGTATTTGGTCCTGCATTAGCCATTGACAAAACACCAGCACCAGTATGCTTCTCCTGAAATCAACAATTTCATCCAAGTCTTTCTCAAGCACTTCGTGTAGATTACAGCGGTGCTCTGTAAGCCTGCATTATAAATAACTGCCATTAATCTTCGAGCTTTAATCAGTACCCCACAACTTATTTTGAAATATTAATTAATATGCTACATATTTAAGCACACTTGATTTAGCAGTTAAAGCCCCAAATATCATAGTGAAAAAAAACGATGCAAAACATTACACCTGGAAGTTTTCGTCGGGGAATTTTTCACCATAAATTGATTCACCTCCTGTACCGTTTCCACGTGTAAAATCACCACCCTGAATTTCTTTTTCTTTTGGGAACGCAACAAAAAACTTGAAACAGTCACACTAATGCTCTATTATTTTTGTCCTAAAATATAATTTCCTTGAAAAATTTAGCAAAAAAATTTTTAACAATTTTCAAATGACAGTCGATCGATAATCGATATGAGTGATAGTTTTCAAGCTTTTATTTCAAAATACAATATAGCTTACAATTTCTATTCATACATTACAAATATTCCTCGACAAAATTCAATGAATTACAAACCTGTAACATGAAATTGGGTATGACGCGATGAAACTTCGATCCTTTGTAGTGTAACTTTTTGCCACTTCGTCCTACATCTCTTTCCCCAGTACAAAGACAACGGAAATTTTCAGCTGTTTTTGGAACAATATCGGCGAAAAGCTGAATATACCAAACATGAAACAAAATAAAAGGAAAAAAAAATGGTACTTCTTTTTGCTTCAAGATTTAAGGAACTTCTCCCGATTAACGCCGATGGATAAGTGGAAAATACAGAATGATTACCTTAAATGCGTTGCGGTAAACAGGAAAATTTATACCGTTAATCCAGAATGTTTTTCAAAAGTTTCTGGTGTCCGTTATTGGAAATTACAATCACATTAAGAAAGCAAAAAGCAATAAGTTTCAAATCTATAAAAAAAGCAGCAGTTGATCTTTTTCTGATCAAGTTCATCGATAATCATACCATCGCGTCGTACCCAAGTGCAAAAAATATCCAGGATCTGAATTATCAATTCTTGTTACAATGTTTACCTCCATCACAATTCGTCCTGCACTGCTTCCACCAATTGTAATATCGAAGAATACTTTAGGTCGTGCCATTACGCTAAAATTTCTGAACTCCTTTTTGCCATAAAAAAGAAAAAAAACAAAACAATAGACTAAACTTAGCGTATACCTATTTAATATGAAGGATAGTACCTTTCATTATTACCAAACATTCTAAACAATATATATCTGAAGACAGAAGCAATGAAATGCATGAAAGAGTGAAAGATAGAGATAGAGAACTTCGGTCGAATATGAAAAGAACATATAACACAGGATGAAATCGATAATGCTGATAGTATTCCTAACTGATATTCCTACTAAAACCCATCTTTCCCTCACTGAACTTGTACATCGTATTCAATATCTCTGAGCTGAATTCCATTCATCCATTACTGGGAATGTTTTAGACTGAATTTTAGCGATGATCGGTAATTTTCAATGGACTGAAACCTATTTATACAAGACTTAAATTGTAAAAAATACAAGTCAGTATTGATTCAAATGCATTCTCGATGGCGAAATAATTACGCGATATACGATCGTTGTGATTTCTGTGATTTAGTCAATAAAGCAACCGTAGCAAACTTGTCAGTTGTGTAGTGATATTGATATTATGCTACATTTTTTGGGTAAAGAATGCAAAATTTGAATGGAGAATTTGAAACGACTTGGCTATAATCTCTGACCAAAGACTGAAGAAGGAGTGATAACACGAAAGAACATTGCAATACCAGTGAAAGAAACAATCGATAGATCTACCCTGAGTAATTTATTCTTCCAATAAAAAATCTCTTGCTGAATTTTTTTTTTGCCATTGCAAGTTACTAAGAAAAGTATAAAGTATGAATCTTTCGGGAGCAAAAGTATGGCACGATACAAGCTTTTTTGTCATGGTTGATAAATTCGATTTGATTTTGTTCAAATTATACAGCCATACTAAATCGCAACAATTTCATACTAACATGCATGAATACTCTGCGCCTCCTTTATCTTTAACGGATATTTTGAACTTTTAATACTATGAAGTTTACTATTTCTTATATATCTAAAACAGCATGGTATGTGAAATAAATGTGTTCTACTCATTGTAGATTGGAAGCACCAAGAATTTGGAAAAAAGCTTGCCTGAATGCAGAAGGATGTTAGCAACCGTTAAATCATAGTTTCTTCGTCTAAGCATCTTAAGAACTAGGTTTTCAAGAATAATTATACGAGTGCTGGGAAGTTTATTCTAACATATTCAGCAATCACAAGATTTCAAAAGCATTCCAGAAAACAGTTACTGAGAAGCTCCCACTAAGCAGTAAAAAATCAACTTCACGACGAATCTTCCACTAGGCAAACATTAATTAGTTCCTCTACCCTCAAAAGAATAGCTCAAACGATTCTTGATATTATTATCAGGAATCGTTTGAATTACTCTTTGGAATCGTTTGAAATATTCCTATGATAATAACATCTGAATGAGATATATAAACAAACGAATGTAGCAAATACAGTGAATGCGGTTAAAACGAACTAATCTTAGCAATTCGTAGATGGGATGAACATCAGGGAAGAAAAAGAATGGACAAAATACTATTTTTAGGATTGATAAAACTTAAAGCACCGATAAATTTATTCGAATTTTCAAGAATATGAAATCCATATGTAAATACTATAATTCGTTAGTTCAACCTAAATTAAGAATATAATTACTATAGGAGGAGATAAAATTCGAGAAAAAAAAATGATATACAGCAAAGGGAAAAGAAAACAACATAACATAAATGGTCTATTATAAAACAAGGATCCAAACATGTTCAAATTGTATTTCCATTTCTTTATTGGACTGTGCCGGCTTTTACTTCCATTCTACTACCATCCATCCATCATTTGGTGCATTTTTTGATCGTAGCAACTGTCTTTGGTGTACTTAAACGTCTGAAAAATGCTTCCCTTTCTGCTTCAGTTCGCCGACGTGGAGCTGGAAGAACATTACTTCCACCATGTTTCGACTGCCCTGTTTTTGAAGGTTTTGTGAAATGAGTAGCGGATGTAGTTGGCGAAGACTGCATTTTCTGGAAACGCAAAAAAATTAACCCAAAATACATAGTACCAAATCTGATTGCTAATCCTTAAAGTTTAAAATGGATAGTATAAAACGCATTGTATTTAAAGACAATTGAAATCGGACAATGTTATACATTTCCTTCAGGGATAATCCAGCATTTGCTGAACAAGAAATCAAAATGCCCATCCTGCTGAATATAATAATGGAGTAATTCATGTAGGTTTCAGCTATCTAGCATATAAATAACCTTGATATGAAGAATCAAGAAAGTCCCAAAAAAATCTACAACAGTAAATTCTTCTGGTTGCTGCTGGATACCAAATATTTACTGGTCTCAGCTTGTCATCTGTCTCATTAGTTCATTGAAAGCAGTTAATTATGCATTTCATTGAGTAGCTGCTTTCTCATTTCTAACATCAAGAATGATATTCATCCTTTTTTCACGGAAGTCTTTCCGTCTGCCTTTTACCTACCTCGTCCATCCTTTTAACAGCATATATGAAACTAACGTTAACGTGATGAAAAGTGCAAAATTCAAAAAAACTTTTACTCAGACAAACTACTGGTGTTTCACTGTAAAAAAGGATTAAAAGAAGTTCAAATCTAATTCCCTATTAACTTTATTGCATGACTTGTATTGTATGAGCATTTTTCGAGAAATAATCCTCACTTTTGTTGCAACTCGACTTCTCAAACACGGTGCAAATTGAAGTACAGGCTCTGGTTTTTTCGTAATAACTGTCCAAATTTCATCTACAAATTTATACTTATCACAATCTATGAAACGAATAGCAAAATAACCTTCACCAAGTCCAAATATTATTCTATATATGCAAATATTATACGGAAATATGGACAAGTACAGGAAACTTCTAAAAAAGACTCACCATTTTCTTTACCTTCCGATTTTGTTACATCTCGGTCCAACGAATCACCCCCTTTTGGACGTCGAGTCAATGACTGCCGAAAACGACTTTCGCTTTCGATTGATGGAAGACCATCCCCACATTTGACTCTTCCTAAAAGTTGTGAAAAATGACAAACTTGCATAAATCTAAATTATAGGCGCAGTTAATCTAAATAAGATATAAAAAATTAAATGTATTATATTCTAAAGCAGGTAATTGCAACCGTAATAAGTTATAACACTTGTGTTTAAAGCCTGTATCAAGCAATTCTTTTAGTTCATTCATTTAAAGCATGCTTCTAAGGTTCCAAAAAGTTCGTAAATTTTTGTGGCGCAGTGTCTGTTTTTTTTTTCTCTGGACTTGGTGAACGCGGGAAAAAATATAACCTTGAGTATTTCGGACGCGAATAGGTTCATGTGCTACACGAGTACGCGAACGTGATAAATGACCATTTTCAGCATTCTAAATTTGTGGCAACATAAACAGAGAAAGTGTTAAATATAATATAGAGTGTTAAATATAAATAATATCGAAAAGAAGTTTGGAAAAACCTAATCAGATAAACACATATTCCCTGAATTATTTTTTTTTTAAAGAGTGTTAAATATAAATAATATTATGAACTTTTCATAATATTTCGTTGTGACTCGAATGGATCCTTCCTATCTAAAGCGAATAACTAATTTATAGTTAAAATTCCAATTTTCTTAAATCTAATGGGACCAATATCTGTTCACATATTCTCAAATAGTAATTCAATAGTAAAAATAGTAAAAATATAATAAAAATAGTATAGTAAAAAAATAGTATAGTAAATAGTATAGTAAAAATAGTAATCGTAAAAATAGTCAACTGTTGATAACCTCTACGTGTTGTAGCGATTTAAAAGATAACAACTATAAAAAAATATCCTCCTTGATGAAAGGAAAATAAAATTCATCCTTTTTTCCGTCAAATATTTCGCTTCTTAAGAAACTGAAACTACATCACTGTTCATTATATGATAAAACGACATTGACATTTAAATATATTGATGCGATGAAAGAACACTGCTACTGCTAACCTTACATACTGATGCAGTATTAACAGCATTTCTTCGAATATTTTGATTCATTTGTGACAACGGACGAGAATATACTGATTTGGTGAGCAGTGACTGCTTTCCTGTACTCACGGCTGAATTGATTCTCATCACTTCCGAGTTTTCATTGCTAAAATAATTGAATTTCTTGCAGTTTCTTTTCAAATAATATCTCTTCGACTTATTTAACTTACAGTTTCTTTTTTCAAATAAGCACTCTTTTCTTCGCTTATAGAATTCGCAGTAAAATTTATTAATGCAAAGCGTGGTTGAACAAAACAACGACATTAACCAGTAGAAGCAGATCAAGATCACTAATCAATAATGAAACGATAATTTTTGAAATTATTAATAGAAATACCTTTGCTTCATTCTTGCTCGTGCTCTAGTTTCAGGTCCCATATATAGTGATTTTCTTGCTGCTTCTGGTTTAGAGACCATTCTTCCTGTACTCATTCTTCCTGTTCTGGTAGTTAAACTGGTCCTATTCTGAGATTGAGCCATCGTTATTTCGTTTGTTATTACAGCATTTTCAGTTTTCGCCCCAATATTTTTGGTTGCAGTGGCACTTGTACTGGAAGAACGAACACGTAAAGGCCCATTTGGTTGAATTCGAACAACCGTTTCCGTTGCTTTTCTTACCGATGAACCATTCGTACGCATGGAACCCACTGCGGGTCTTCGTGCCCTAGGTTCAGCGCTTATTGCCCGAACCTTAATTGTCGGTTTACATGTCACCGATTCCGTTCTTTGTTTCATTCCAACAGGGTGTCCACGGCCTCCCTGAGTCGTAAACGATGGACGAGAAACTCTGCAACATAATGCCTTCGTTGGCTGAATTGAACCACTGAAAGGGATTTTCGAGGTATGGTTTGCCGTTTCCTTGTCCACATAACCATTTGAGTCGAAATTTTCATGGTAACTCAATTCCACAGTGCATGTCGATAAGTGTGTTGTATTTTCTGTAAGAATTTGAAATGTTTAACGGAATTATTCAAGTTTTGTTCAAGATTAAAGAACCCGCATAGGGCTTAAAAATGGAAAATTATGAACAGAAAGTGATAGGGCACATATCTAAATTTACCTTCCCGCACAATTGTATTCGACCGATACCCCGATAAACGTGTACGCGATGGTGGACGAAACATTGCAAGACGATTAAGTTCAAATGGAACATCGTCTGAAATTAAATTTGATATCGCTTTAAATTTTGAAAGATCTCAAAAATAAAGAATGATTTTCATAACTTTCAAAGCTTTATATTATTTGTCCGGATAGAAGTTTGTTGGTTGATTACGGATTTTCAAATATTCATGTCCTTTTATTATTCATAAACGACATTACCGTGAATATTTTCTGCTGATGCGTTAGTTGTACTTAATGCTGTAACTTTAGCAGTATCCGTTATTGCCGCTGCAACTGTAGTTGTAACTGTTGGCATTTGCTCAAAATGATGTTGAATATTAAATGGTACAGGTTTATATCTATCGCGTAACGACATACAATGATCCAAATCTGCCTTTGCTATGGAATTTGTTTGCAAAGGCAACAAATCCTGAAAAGGAGAAGGAAATGATAAGAATGATAAGAATTTAAAATGATTTCTGGAATGTAGCATTTTTTTTTTCTGAAATGATGAATTTGCAAGTGCATTTTTCACCTAACATAACTATTCCTTATCTGGTTTGTCAGTTAAACCTTTTTCGTCGGTATGAAGACGAAACCGTGGCGTCTTCCATACGCATAAAATCTTCCCGATTTAAACATATCTTATATCTTTTCCAATCTTTGTTTGATGATATTTGACATGGAATCAAGTAAATGTCATATAATGCTCCTTGATTAATGGTTAGTCAGATTCGAGAATACTGAGGTATCATTATTTGCAGATTGCTCTGGAGTTACATTTGATATAAAATCCGCAACTCAGAATTCTGAATAATCAAACAACAATTGACTGACAACTGACTAAATTTCTTTCTACTAAGTTTCCAATTATATAAAGCGTTATTAGAGAGCAATACATGAATTGAAAGAAATAAATTTATATTAAATTTCAAACATATAACAGAGAGGTTTTGTTATGCATTAAATTTTACCAAGTTTTTAAAATCAAAATTTCTTTATTAAATAAATTTTTCGTCATGAGGAAAAAAAACAATCAAATCAAAATATAAACATACAAAAAATCGGTCACCCAACGTACTCTCATCATCGCCATCACCGTTAGCAGCCTGTGTTCCAAATATAGCATGACGAGGCACTGTCGCAATGTTAAAACTATCATCATCACACATTTCCAACTGAGTAATATATTAATTTACATTATAAATCAAACTGATAAACAAATGATTCGTCAATTTATATTTTAATCAAATTACAGTTAAAATTTGAATAGGAATAAATCGGAAGCGACAAGTGGCAATTTAGAAAAGACCGGAGAAAATTTCGAGTTCGATGCTTCGCGGCATTTTTCCGACTTAATAACATTTTGCAGCTCTATTGTACTTGTCTTGCAACCTTCAGAGGGCTATTTAAAATGAGTTGCTTTCGAAGTATTTTAGTCTTATTAATGTTGAATGTTGGAAACGAAGAAGGTTTTTTATTATGCTTACGCCTACTCGCTATTTTTTCAATCTCTACATATGATAATTTGTTAATTTTGGATGACATAAGATACGGAGAAAACGGGATGCTTGATTCAGAGATTTCAAATGCTTTCAAATTCCAAATGATGAAGTACTGGAATTTCAGTAGTAAATGTAAAAATAGAGCAGTTAAATTTAATAAATTCTGAAATCATTGGTTAGGAATGTTTTCAGAAATTAATGTCGATACTTCCAAAAGTTGATTAGCGATCAAAATTGATGGTATTTCTGGAACCGAGATAGTAGTGAATAGTGAGACACCAATACAAAAACGATTGGGCGCCAGTTTGTCGAGGGCAATTTAACGATCTAATTAGCCTCAGTTATAATCCAGGAACGAATTCGGTAATTTCAATCATCATCAACTACTCATTTATTAGCACGCAATAGTGTTTTTTCAATTCGCTAATAGCTCGTGAAACATTGCGATTCTATCGAAAAAATAATCTTATCGTAGCCTTCACCTTTTCAATGAAATATTTTGGAAATATTTTGCATTTTCTCCCGGAAGAACAGTAATCTAGAAAAAACCTCAAGTCACCGAATATGAGATTGACGGTTGACAGTTGCTCGTACGATTAACGAAGAAAAATGGAGAGATAGTAGTAATATTTTTCGTGGTAAGGCTCTCTCTCCTTTACTTCTTCATCTTTCTCATTTTACTTATAGGAGATCACGACCAATGCATGTTTCCGGATTAGAGGGGAATACAAAACGTGAGAATTTCTGGGAAATGAAATATCATCCGAAAGTTCCCTTTCAACTTTATTTCTGTTTTTATAAGGTTGGAGGTTAAAAGCAGTGGACAGATGGTAAATGAGCTCATAAAGCTGTAGATTAGCAAGCATAATTTTACGTGATTGTATATATGTTTATAAATATAATTGATCATTAATAGCGTTAATGCTGGCAGCGTATTATTTAATGGTAATTTATACGATATTCTTATCATTCGTCATTAACTTAGCTGTCATTTACATTTATCACCTTAATTTCTTGGTGATATCCGGTCATTTACTAACAACCTTCTTGATATCCATCATTCCACGTACGACTTACCTGCAATTTATCACCAGTTAATAATTTACTGAATATTTAATTATTTATTGATAATTTATCTGGCATATACACTATATCCGTATCATTAATAGCTCTCTGTTGCATTTATTAGATATCCCGTAGTTTTCTTTTCGGCAAATTATCATTTGCTCTCTACTTATTACGATATTCGGAACTTCACATTTTCAATGTTTCCATTGTATTGAAGTTTGGAATATCTTTATTATTAGAAGTTTATTCATCTGCAGCTATGGTAATTAATTTTTTAACTGTGCTTAATTTTCGCGAACTTTTTATAATTGATCCTCTCTTTTACATAGTTGTATTTTTACATTTCCGAATATTACAGAATCATTCATAATCTATAAAATATTCATAAACTTTTCCCTATCACAATAATCAAAGGCCAATATAATCCTGTTTCTCTTTTTATTGAATTATCTTTTGGAAAATGTTTCTCAATTCCCCGTACTATCAGACGGACGATGCAGAACTGTAATTCAGTTTTGACCTAAATTGATAAATGTTTGAAGGACTGCGTAGACTAGTTTGAAAAGTATTTGCTAAACAACTCAAACTATTATTGTTGATAGTAGTGTGAACTACAAATGCTGGTTTAGGACTTGCTTAACAAATAAGATCATTATGGCAGGTATGAGGATTCATACTTCGCATTCCTCCTACCCTTAACCTTTTTATAATACATTTGGATTAACCAGTTAGTTATGCACTGGTTTCAGCAGGCTGCTTTTACTGTCATACTTTACTATTTGAAGCAAATTAATTATCAAGCTCATGGGATGCTGATGTTTACATGATACTACATCTGAATTTTTAGATTTAATTTAATTTCATAATTTAGGTTCAGCAATCGTCATTCTGTTGTAATTTTTCGCTTTTCTAGCAAAATTTCCCACTTCTCCTTGTCAATTTTTCTGCTTCCTGATTCCATTATCGTGAAATATTTTCATCACCTTCTATTTTAATTATTCTCATAATTCACCCTTCCCTTTTTTCGCTACCCATTATTTCGAATTCATTCGCATAATTCTTCCATTTCCAAAACTATCTTGAAATCATTAGCATAGTTTTCATTTATCATTAGTTGTTTTGTCGCCAACTGGAAATACTACTACATTTCAGAAAAAATGCCAAAAAGATTAAACGATGACCTGGAAGAAGGTGAAATATTTGATGACGATGAGGAATTTAATAATCAGCAATCTAATGTTACCGAATATTCAAGCGCAGTAATTAGTGAAGGAACAAATTTGACGATAAAGTGTTTCCAGTCCTTATATCATGCCAACAGTGAGTCACTGCATTCAAACAATTTGGAAATTCCTTATCAAACAGCTGTATTTCCTGAAATAAATGGCGATAATCTAAAAAAAGATAAATCAGAAATTTTCGATAATTATGAAGAGAATGATAAGGAATGTTTTCTGGATAAGAGGGTGGTGGATGAGGATCAGCCGGATAACGAATTGAAGGTTTTAAATTCCGAAGGTACAATGGAATTCTTTTTTTACTTTTTTAACATTATTTAGATGTTGAATATGAAATTTAATTGAATATTTGGATTTTAAAATAATACATGCAACAATAGTAAGTAATATCCAAATATCAAACTACACTCCCAACGATTATAATTAATTTAGACTTGAAGTTTAACATTTAAATTTGTTTTAAAGCTTTGTTGAGCAATATTGTATATCCAGTATTATTTTATAAATGGAGCAGTATCACTCTTTTAATGTGATAGAGGTGTTATCAGAAAATGTGTTCGAATTTTGCATGAATTATTTTGCATGTATTCGAAATTTGCATGAATTATTCGTTATTTTGCAAAAAGGTTGGAAAAACAGTGTAGTTCCTATTTCTGTTATCTTTTTATGTCTTATTTACCTCGTCGCATTTCATAATAATTCGAGTAAAAATCGCTTGGTGCTTTTAATTATTGGTATATGTCACTCAAAGCAGTCCAATTTTCTAACCAATGTTCTCTTCCCTGAGATTGCTGTATTGTTTCAGCAAAGATTTATGTGCTACGATATCGAATAATTTTACAAAAATTTATGTATTTCAGATGAACTTGAATATCAATCCATATTAAGCGACGAATCGGTTGATAGTGATAATGATAATAATGAATTTTCTGACAAAATTGTGTGTAGTGGAGGAATTATTGCAGCAAATGAATTTCACTCGAGGATAGCAGCATTGACTATGGATACAGAACACATAACAGATAGGAGGAATACAAAAACAAATGAAGATGAAATGCAAACAGATTTAGTGGAAGAGGTACTAGTTGACGACAGTTGGATTTTCCAATCATTAGGTTTGTTTTCATTTTATGGGAAAAAGTAGCATAGATCTGCTTGTCATTATTTACTTTAAGTAATTTGGAGGTTAAAATAATTCTAAGATAATTCAAGAGAGTTCTCATTACTAGCTATTATTTATCATAAATCTGGAATCAACAGTTTCCTTTACGCATGACTATTTAAGTAAGAAATTTGACGAGTTAGATGAACCATCAAGGATAGTTAGCAGGGTAATGAGGCAATGGACTTATATATGCTACCAGAATCGGAGGGGAATTTAAAAGAGCAGTTAACGAAAATGGATCTTTTCAACCCGAAATTATGATTGATGTAACAGTATGTGGATATCTTAATTGTAGGTTTTTTCAAAAATGAAATCATCCAAGTTGGGTCATTCGTTTGTCTATTTATTTACTACTGGATTTGATGTTTCATTTTCTCCTTACCTTTTTCCTGTCTTCTTTGTTTCACTCGTATATATTCAGCATTTCGCTTCATTTTTTACAGTTGCAGGTGGTGATACTGAAGCAGTGAATGTTGTCGAGGATGAGAAACAAGTGCATGAAGGATCAAATAGTCAAATAAAACAGATTGCTGAATTAGAAAGGAAATTTGCCGAGGAAAAAGAAAATTATGTGCGCAATATGTATTCTCTATTGGTAACAGCGCGTGCACAAATTGCAGCTCTCAAAAAGGAAAATAAGAAACTTGAAATGAAGTAATTTTATCCATATGATTGGAAAGGAAATAGCTGGTTTAAGGAGGTTTCCGAAGTAGACATTTCTTTCTTGAAAGTTTTTTTATTTGACATGACATACGAACTTTTAGTGTTATAATTTTTCACGATTTAGTTGTTAGTTAAATCGTCATGGAAACAATATGTTTTTGGAAATTATGGGTTTTTATCTGTAGTGATTTCTAATAACTTAATTTTACTAATTCGCATCGTGTCGGCATCAGTATGCTTAAAATTTTCCGACTTTCATCAGTTGTGTTTTAGCTTGCCATTTCTTCAAAGGCATGCTGGAAGTACTGGAAATATCTTTCCATTTACATCGATCATGCTTAAGTATGCAAAATTTACTTCAAAATGAAAAAAATGAGCAATTGATCCTTATTTCTACAAAAATTACTCTTGTCAAGATATTAAATGTAATTATAACAATGCTAGCATTATGGCAGCTTGATTTATTTTTAGATTGCAAGGAAACTGTACGATGAATTGCCCTAAATGCAAACATCAGATATGTTTAAGAAATAATTCACTGAAACCAAAATATATCAAAGTATTGAAAGGACGTTGTGCAATCGAAATGTTGTTCAATAATTTGGAAAAAATGGAGGAATGGCTTTCAGCGAATTATTTAGACATCAATCCGGATGGATTACCGGTAGTACTGGAATTGCCGCGGAAGCCAACGCTTACTTCTACAAACAGTCTTCTTGCCCCAAAAACAGTATGTTGCATATTGAAGATATTTAAATTGATGGTAATATTTTAGTAAGTACATAGTATTGTTATGCCAGCAATTAATAGATTCCGGCTTTTTTGCTCCGAGCGGACCTGAAATGTTGAGTAATTTTGGGATCTGAAATGAAGCCACTCTGATTAGTAATATGATAATAGAAATAATGATTGAGACTTTATTTCATTTTTCTGGAATTTAGGATAATGATTTTGATTTTTTTGCTAAATTTAAATAATTGGTGACATCGCAGAACTCAGTTCGTGATATTCGTCGAAAGTCGGATAAAGTCACTCTGACGTCTTCAACACATTCTGTAGCAAAGAGACAAAACACGCATTCAGCTAGAACTGTTAACAATTTCAATAGTGAGTTATCGTTTCCAAGTGATTTTTTCGGAATTAAGTCCAAAATTTCATTTTTGAAATTAAGGAGTCAATATGGAACATATTTTTTATATCAGAAAAAAACTTCAACGATTATCAGGCTTTTTAATGAATAGATTAATTTATTTCAGAGTATTCTATGAAGCAATGTGAGAAGTTAAGTCATGTGACGCGAGGTGAAAAGACGCAAGATAGATCCAATATAAACATTGCTTACAGTTCTTGTGGTAAACTAGAAAAGTGGCCACGTGATAGAAAACGATCAGGATTGGATAAGTGTGAAGAGCAACAGCGGCATCGTATCTTGTCGGTGCATATATCATCAGATATATCATTTGACCGTGATCAACAACGATGTTTCAGCTCTCCTACGTCAGGCAATTTCCATAAGTCATGTCGGAACACGAAGTTAAACGCTACTAAATGCATGACGTCGATGCCAAATCGCAAAGGGACAGATCAGGAAGATCAGCATCCAGCAATAGATAGTTTTAGGAATCGATTTGAATACCGAAGTCCTTCTGTAGAGTATCGTAGAAGACCAATTAGATCGCCGGTATGTTACAAACGAATTGAAGAGAATTCTTATCGAAATTGTCGGAATCGTTCAAGACCGGAAGGAATAAGAAGTCTTGAATAAGAAGAAAACTGGAACAGAAACTATGACTGAATTAATTTCAGACTATCCTAGTATGAAATTAATTCAGCCATAGTTTTCGTTCCAGTTTTGTTCTTATTCAAGATTTCTTATTCGATGTATATTATTATGCTCTCGCATAATAGTATATCAAGTAGAACGAAAAGAATGGCAGTATATATCTAGGTCCCATATTTTGATGTGTTATCTCATGGTACTTCAACATTTCATTTTTATCTGCTAAACTTTTTCTTTTGTATTAGACTGATTCACTTGTACAATTCTACTGCTTTTTAATTTTATGTTCTTATTTATTAATTCTTCATTTCTTTATTTTTTTTCACTTATTATACCACTGTTCCATTGCTTTTATTTATTCCGATTTGTTCTGTATAAAAAAAAATTTGGTATATGCTACCTGTATTGCTTTAAAAGGAACTTTAATCTTTCGTAGAATATTGAAGCGCTGAATGTTGATGATAAATTCCTAGTTACAAATTTCTCAGCCATCCTCTATCCCTTCGGAGACTTAAAATTATTTTACATGGGTTACGAAAGTGTTAAATTCAGATCTGTAAATACCCTCACCGTCTTCTTTTCTTCTCTGAAATTTGAAATTATTTTTTGAACCACATATCTATCTAGTCAGCTTACTTTGTCATTTGACATCTTCATACATTTTGCATACGTAAGATGTAATATGTTCATCGAGTTCCGCAACGCTTGCTTAAATTTTTTGCATTGTTCAGCAGTAAATTTTCTGATTAATATTTCACTCACTGCAGAGTAAATTTATAATCAGTCAAATCTTTCCTGCTTCAGTAACTTATTGGGACTGATCTGCTCCGAATAATTTCTGAAAAATGGGCATGTTAAACAACTTTCTTAAAGCACAACAGATGCACCAAAAAAGCAATTGGACGTCAACGTGAAATTATTTGACAGATTTCTTGATTTTTGAATCTCTATCATCCCTGGCATGAGTTGTATGTGCCATAATTTAAGGGTTCATAGGTGCAAATGACGTTCAACATGTGAAGATTCTTACCAAATGCAATATTTTACGAAGTGCAAATTTTCTGCGCAATCGTTCAAGTTTGGTAAATTAAGCGTAGTGAAATTGGCAATATTCATGCTAGCAAAGCAAGTAATTCCAAAAAATTGTATTTACAATTTCTGTGCCATTTACTTTTGTACATTTCGCAGGATTGCATGTAATTAATTGGCTGCGTGTTTCATTCTCAAAAGCATGTAGCACGTCGTTGTCCATTTCATCACTGTTATGAAATGAAGAGCGATGCGTGGGAAATAGCTATCATAAAGAGGATGTGATTCTCTGAAGAGAGAGTGCATTGAGTGGTTGGCTCTTCGTAGGGTTTTTGACATATAATTCTCGTATTCTAACATTTCCCTGTAATTTTACCACTAATTTTTAGTGGAATTTACCATCAAATTATGGAAGATGTCCTGCTCAGGTATAAAACTATAATTGACTGATATTAAGATGATGATGAGAACAACTTAAAAGTGTTACACGTAACATTCTTCACGAGAACCATAATGTTCTATGTTTTCCTTCATTTTTTTTCTACCCATCATTACAAGGAATTAGTAAAGTAATAGTGTGATCATGTTCTTTTATCATGAAGTTGTTTCGGTAAAAAATTACTACTAGTCTTAGATGAAGTGAAAAGAAATTTTATGCTATTTGCTGATTTAAGGATAGTTCTAACGTGAAGCAGTATAAATTACGGCGGGAAACTAACTCGTAATTTTCATGGAAACATATCACTGATTTTTTCCTTTTTGAACTTCGTAAGTTTTCCAAGTTTTCTTTTCCAGGAAGTAGTGCAATATCTCACCTAAGATCTCGAGAATTAATAAATTTCTCATCAAATAAAATTTTCACGCGATAATGGCAAGTTTTATTTATATCCTTGAATATCTTTGCCACTACGGTTTCTAAATAATTATAATCTACTCAATAATTTCATCTTTTATTCTATTTTTATCATTTTGCCCAGCGAATAACGTTGTTTGACATCAGCAAGAAACAAATACTATTAGGTAACGCTTCACGGCAGAAAACCTATCAGAAGTTTCCCAGGTGTCATTCCTGTTTTTTCATTTATTAGATATACATAGATTAAACCCATACATATTTACCTTTGTTATCTGCTAACCCTTTCTAACCTGTCACATTTTCGAGTCAAAATACATATGATGACCTAAGATTGCAAATTTATTCAAAAATATAGAAATTATTCATAAATCGTGCTGTTGTATGTTTATGGATTCATATTTAGGCATCTAAAAGGAAAGGTTTAACAGCTGAAGAAAAGCGATCCCGAATGTTGGAATTATTTTACGAAAGTAATGAATTTTTTCAGGTAATTGTTCTTCCTGGAAAAGATATGTGTTTTATACCCCTCAGTAGAAAGTAACAAAAATCCACCCGTTATTTCGATGAAATTTTTTAGTCCGAAGAAGGAAGGACGGTAATGGCAACGATTTGAAGCGTTTGTTTGCATTTTAGTACGGGATATTTTGGGAGAAGGAGGAAATTTAAAACGATGTATGCTATCTCGAAAAATGCTTCAGATTTGTTGATCACAAATTCAATTATAACAGTATGGTGTTGTCGAATAAAGCTACGAAAGTGCCTGAAATCTAAAGTTATTTATTTTGAAAAATCCAGATGAAGGATCTCGAAAAGATTGCTCCAAAGCAGAAAGGTGTCGTTCCGCAGTCTGTGAAAGAAATAACTCAACTACTCGTTGATGAAGGTTTGGTTGAGTGTGAAAAGATTGGTACTTTTGTTTGCTACTGGGCATTTTCGTCACAAGCAACGATTATAGTGAGATTTGTTTCGTCTCCTTCTGTTCTTCATTCTCCGAATGCGGCAGAAATATTGTTTCCTTATAATCTTCAAATGCCCAGATTTGTGGTTTAATTTCTAACTGAATCAATCGAAAAACTTTATTATAACGGGTAGTTTGTATATTTTAAGGGAATTAAGTAGTATGTTGAATATTATAGTAAACATTAGTGAGTGGCTTGCTTACTCCAGGGACTTTAAGCAGTATCTTAGATATTGTAATAGACACTGGTACAAATCTTCGTTAATAATTCAAATTGAAATAAAAGAAATGGCAGAGATCGGAAATTATTGGTAAAAAAGAAGGATATATGTTGGAATGTAGGTTACTTAATAAGTTTATTTATGCGTGATAGGCTGTATCTTATCAATTGATATACATTTATTGACTTTCATCTGGTTCCTTCCGAGATATTTTTGATACATCAACTGTATTGTTGATGTTACGGCAAACTGAAATATCCTGTGTTTTGTTTTCAGCGCAAAAAGCAGCTACAGGAATTAGATGAAAAGATTTTAAATATGGAAACGAAATTAGAAGAAGTGAAAGCTGATGTTGCGGCGATAAAGAAAGGGAAGGAAGTTAGTTTTCGAAATGTTCTAGGAGCCCTATTTACACCCAATAACTGACCGGACTTTAATGGGATGATTTGTGCGTGCAGAATAAGTCTATTGTTAGAAATCTTGTTCGACACATGATAAACTCAGTGTTAAGAAGTACTACTGACTGAACTTTCATTATGACTTTGAATATAAAATTTAGCACGAGATTGTTATGATAATAGTAAGAAAAGGGTTTTTATAAATAATTTCTCTATTCGAATCCCTCAAGCAGGCACTTTCAGGCAACTGAAGAGCGCCAAAATTTACAATTACATATTAATAAATTGCAAACGAAGCATGAAGCATTGGCAAAAAAATTGGAAAAAATAAGGGAAGAAGGCCCTGAAGCTATTGCTCGACTTGAAAGTGAGATGGCGAAGGCTCGTGATGGCGCAAATCGTTGGACTGGTAAGACCTTCCTTTTTTTCTCTTCAGGCTTTTGGCTTCTCGGATTTTCTCGGACTTCCCAACTTGAGGGGTAGAGAATTCTCATCATAAATATATAACTAATCACATGAAAGTTGAAATGGTGTTTGCGATACATCAGATAAATAATTTTGAAGAAAGCAGTAAAATTCTGGTTCTGTGCATGGTTTTTTCTTTGCGGAGTCATTTAAAAAAGCGAAATTTCTTCCCAATGTTTCAGATAATATATTTGCGGCGAAAAAATGGTGCAAAAGGAATTTCAACATAGAAGAAAAAATATTGAATGTGCAGTTTGAAATACCGGCAGAACTCGATTATATGGAATGAAATATTAGGCTTTTGCATGATTTCTGTATTATTTACGGATATCTCAAAGTCGGTTTAAATATCATTTTTTTTTGATTGAAATTTAGAATTCTTGCTTATTTAATCCTTTTCCCTTTTTTGCCATCTCCTATTATTCTCTTTTTTAGATAAGACTTGTTATGTAGAGTACATTCGATTCTACTCACAAAAATGTTTTAATATTTAGTAATACTAAACGAAGTTTAATCCATCTTTTGCAAATTTCTTTTTCCAACTTGCATTTAATTTTTGTCAATTATATCTTAATCCACATTAAAAAAATGCAAAAGAGGATGGCAACAGAGGAAACAATGCAAAAATGAAGTGATGATTAGGCAAGCCACAAAGACACATACTTTGCTTACTTTTGTACTATCTCGACATTTTATTCATTAATCCCACATCAAAACTACCAAAATTAGTTGGTCATTCAGCTTTCTCGAGATAGATTCTGGGTTCTTTTGAAATACCATTACAACTTGAATATGTTAGAGTATTCTTTTTAAGTAATCAGGCTAAAGTGATAGACATGCCTCATTAAGGTATGAAATATTCTCAATAAGCCTAAATTTCCAATTTCACTGCCCGCATTTCTTGGTTTTTTGTATTAAATCAAATTTGATGGGTAAAAAGAGCTAAGAATTGGAAAAAAATCTTTGTGAATGATACGGAAATGAAAATGATGTTTGATGCAGACGAATGAGAAATAATAATAAGCTGCAAACGAAACAAGCCTGAGTCGCTGAACTATACATATATTGTGTTTATGACAAAGAACCGTTGCAACATTTTGTTGTAAAATGTAGTTTCTGTTATGCATTTACATCTTCATGCAATATTCTTTTTTTACTTTATAATTTGTGTAAAGTTGCTAAGCAAAAAAAAGAATATTGCACGAAGATGTGAAACTATTGACATCATATTTAGTAATGAGGTTTCCATCACCATTCTGTTGGTTTCTATATATTTGAAGTCCGCGAATCGTCTCAATATTGATAACCAATAACCATTAAATAGCCTATGGGTGTTATCTATAGCTTGTTAAAAAAATATGAAATATTATTTAAAAAAATATGAAACATTATAAAAAAATATGAAACATAAATGGGTATTTACCTTGATGTCTACTTGCCGGTACTTTGTGTCTTGAGATAAAATTTTTTTGGATAAAGAATTTTTGCTGGGTAAAGGATTTGCCATATCTGTTTGCTTTCCGATAATCTGATGATCTAGTTATTCTTGCTCAAATTAACTTATTTATGGTAAAGCTCTTCGAGAATGGAAAATGATAAGGACATAATATAACGATAACCAATGGAATTCTACCATATTTTCAGTGTCTAGAATAAAAGCGTCTAGAATTTTAGAGTGGTGAAATGGATAATGGACAGCATGCGGCAACAGCAATCGAATCATCAGTTGTTCGTGATACATTCGACGAGCCCCTTGGAACTCCGTCATTGATTGGCTTGCAGCAGTTGACTGATGGGCTTTGGGATAAGTACGGTTTTAAAAAGAATAAAAATTATTGTATAAGAACTTTTGTTTCAGAATATACAGTCATTGTTATTTTAGTATCACCTATAACACCAATACTGAGAATGCATTTATCGACATGAATGACGATATACTGACGGTACGTATTGATTGATATATTTATTACAAAATACAACTTTATTCCAAAATTTTGAGATTTTTTACCCAGAAATGAGCTATGAAATTTGAATCAATGAGTCTTTGTTCCAGATGTAATAAAGCAATTTCAAAAGTAGTCCTGAAATATTCCATAAGGCCTGTGGTTTCCGGAAATTTTTTTCCAAAACAGTGAAGAAAGACAAATCATTCTTGATAATTACTCTGACTTTAAAGTTTTTTTAATATGTTTAATTGAACTCGATTAAACAGCCTTCTGCAAAATATTAGCGACATTTTGATAAAGAATGTTATGTTCTGATTATCATTTTATACTTCATTACTTTATAATCCAAATTCTTTGGCACTGGATAATTTCTTTTGTTTACTAGCAGTGATAAATAAAGGTTGCAAAAAAAATTTTTTCAATGTGCTCATGGCAAGAAGTTGGACAAGCACAAAACTGTCACTAAAGTAATTCCACTAAGTAAATGGTTATCGAAAATATTTTAGTTGAATATACCGCCAATGGATTATGAGCGAACAACAAGTGAGAATTTCGCCGATATTGTGTTATCACAGCTTGATAATCGAGATGTATGTGTGCTATATCTTGTCATACGTAATGTTTTATGTTTATTTACAGTGAACTGCATCCCTTATATCAATTATTGTCACATATTCACATGTCTATCGATCTATATGGATATTTGATTTAGGAAAACCTCTCCCGCAGTTGTGGCATTGACGAATTAAAAGAAATGAATATTGCTGCACTGAAATCAGTGCCAACTTCTGCTGTCAGGTTTTTGTCCTTTTTTCTTTCCATTTATTGCAAAATATTTCGCATAAACTGTAAGCTTTTTATATCTCGTAACAAAGTGAAATCATCGTTATTCAGACCGGAGACTGATGCATTTCAACTAGAATTTGATGTGACAGTAGAAGGAGGGCGTCAAAGTGCTTATATCGTATGTATTTAAACATTTTTTTTTATTTTTCTCACTATTGAAATCGTTTACCGAAGCATTCCAACGTTTTGAACTGTTTGATTGTTCAGCGCCACGTATCTTCTTGAAAATTTTGCAAGTGCAAAATGTGTTAATCTGCAGAGAAAGGCTTATTCCCTAAATCTTATTCCCTAAATATCGTTGATTTTAATCCGTTATTTGATTTAAATTTCAAAATTCGGAAAATGACGAAATGTTTCCTTTATCAACAGAAATTTACGTTTTTAATTTACTTAAAAGTACAAGAAAAAAGAGAAATTCGAATCTTAAATCTGGAATAATTTTTCTTCTTTTTTCAGAAATGTTAATTTTTAGTTCAAAGGTCGCTCACTTTTTGCGAAGATGAATACCAATGTCATATTTGCAGTGAAATGTCCTATTCCTCCTCCCCCAAAATCATTCATTCGGATTTGTGCTATTTATTTGGATAACATTTATGCTCATGTTCCAGTTCGTCGATGCGATTATCATCGTTCGCGAGACAGTAAGTGATTCTCTTCAACTTTCACTGAATTAGAAAAGCGCAAATTTAAGTTTTCATCTAGAATAACTTCGCAAGCTGACAAATGACTCCAATAGTTATATAACTTTTGCGGGTTGAAGTTTTTGAAACAGAAGCAATGTAACATTATTACATCTGCAATTCTAATTACATATGTGTATCATCGCTTTAGGAAACTTCCATGAAGCTTTTGCAGGAAATCAGGAAGAGCACTTCTTAATTGTGACTAATAATTGCAAAGCACAACATCTGATAGAAAAAGTAAAAAATGAAGAAGGTTCTCGTTCATTTGCAGTTGTACCTTTCGACGCACTTCATGCAAACAAATGTTTGATGCTACAGTTCCGGTGCTATTCGTCTTGTGTTGGTGGTATCAATCGGCGGCAAGTAGTGTTGTGTTTCTCTTTAGAAAATGGGTAAATTTTTTTAATTGAGATGCATCAGGTAACAGTTTTCTTATGGTTCACATTGTTAAATTTTTTCATGTTTTACTAATTTATGCAAAAAATAAAACTTTAATTAGTAATTCGTCATATTTCAGTGATCATTTACTTGGGGAGAGTAAGATGCACCTGAAAGTTTGTTCACTTCCAAGTCGAGATGCAAATTTGGATGTTGCTAATTTGCCACGTACGTCTTCGCTTTCTATTTTGAAAATTTTTGAATTTTATTTAAATGGAAAATAAAAATAGGGAACAATGTATTCTCGTATATGACGCACGCTTTAGCTCTTAATTGTAATGCTAAAAGCAAAATATTGATTTTGACCGTTGATGTTGCAGTTAAAAGCTTCAGCTTATTAAATTTATTATTCCATCATGAATATGAGCTTTTTGGTGGTTTGCGCGTCCAAGCTGCTTGTTCCTGCTTAGGACTGTTAAGCTAAAATCTATCGTCTCATATCTAACAAATTTTTTTAATTCTCTTAGGTTAGAACTTGAAATTCGAAAAAGAAGAAAAGCCAAAAGAAAGAGGACAATTTTTACTCTTGGTTTAGCTAAAAATATTATTCGGGAAATTGTTGATTAATATTGGATAAAATAGTTTATAGACTCATACTGAGCAATCCAGGAAATACGAAGAAAATTACCCTAAGCAATCGTCGATAATATTCCGAAATTTGTACGATATTCTGTTTTTCTTATCAGTAGTGTAAAATCTTTCGTTATTTAAATATTCTCATTAAGATCATGTTTAGTATTTAAACTTTAAATTTAATATCTTATATCACTTAATCTTTCGTGTAAGAACAAATTATATATGGAAAATAAGATGTTGGGAGACAAAAGTGATATCTCAATGAGAGATAAGCGAAATATAGTTTAAATATAAAATGGTAATGTGTTTTAGATATAAGGCAGTAAGTCAAATAAAACTACCCAATTATACCACATGAAATTTTGCATAGCAGGATTTGTACTTGAGTAATCGTTAAATAACCTGACGATGATTTGCATATCTATTTCTTGTTTTGGAAGGCAGGTTTGATTGTTCAGTTATCTGAAAAGCAGCAGTTGAATGCGACAGGTTAAAGAGATCTAGTTGAGTTCGTCTAATAGTCCTGTATTGATTAAGGATTTCTCCATTATATTCAGGTAACAAACGTCCACCTGCCAAACACTATCCAGCAGTTGCAGAAGTTGTTTCTGTTTCAACAAAAAATACACCGCAACAAGCATGGGATGATGACGATACAATTTATTCGTTAGAGGTTTAATCTATTATGATTGGACTTTCAACAAAATAAAAAATAAGAGTTAAATTCATTTCCAGATTCGTGGAAAACATTTGTATAAAATAGTTTGTGCTATTGTCGGTAATTTCGAGTTAACCAGAAATTTGCTGAAAGATAAAAGTCAAAGGAATAATAAAGACATGTTGACGGTGAGTGACGGTTCAAGCTCGCTATCACAGAATACTCCCATTGATTCGTAAGTTACAGTGTCGGCCTTTTTTCCTTTTATTTTTTTCCGCTGGTCCCAAAATTTTATATGAATTTGCAGGTTTTCCAGCTTGCAGATCATAAAATGTACTTTGAGTTCAAGAAAACTTATTCTATGTTATTGAAGGTGGCTGAACACTTTGGAATTGTCGAAATATAAGCACTTATTTGCGGATCGGTCGTTTTATGTAATTGGTGATCTTGATGGGGTCATCAACAAAATGGTCTTTTCTTTTATAAATTACTTTTTAATTTTGTTTCAATTTTAACCTACTCCGCAATCCAAAAAATAGCGGATTCAGATGCAATTTCAGAATTAATTTTATGGAAAGAAAATTAAGAATGTAATTGTTCTGCTTTCATAAAGCAATTAAATCTCTTCAAATTTTAGTATTTATTGTCGATAGGTGTTACCGAAGAAGATGCTACAAAGATGTTAAACTCATATTTGGCTTGGTTCAATATTTTTAACTCTCAGCGCCTGAGCAGTTTGTCATCCGAAGGTTCTACAATTCGAGTGCAAAGGACTCGTGTAAGCGGTTCTCTTCGGCTACCACACTCAAAGTAGTTAATTTTTCATTCTTTGTTTTTTTTTTGTAGCGCGGGACAGAATATATTGGAAAATTTTATCTTTCGTCCAGAAATGTTTTCCACCGTATTGTTATGTTTTTTAATGATGTGTGAAGGATCTTATTGAATCTTTATCTTTAACAGTTTGTAAACTTCTGCAAATGTTGTCTCGGTCAAATTATTATGAATGATGCTAGGATTATTTGGAATACAAATATATTGAAGTTAATTAAAGGTGGGGCTCCTTTGCTTTCAGTTTTAATTTCGGTTATTCTCATTTGCATTTTTTCAACTTAATTGATATGCGTATCGTCTTGTTTTGTTATCAGTTTCGTGATCGTTTAATAGATTAATTTTTTTATCTAACAGGTTAACACTTCTTTCTTGCACATATCCATTACTGTTATTTCAGAAAATAAATTTTAATGTTATGATTTATTTATTATGTTATGCTGGCCATATAAAAATATTTTTTCTGAATTTGTTCCATTAGACGAAACTTCACTGAGACATAATTAATTATGGTGGGATGTATTATAAATGGACTAAATATATGCATTTTTCAGCAGCTTATTAAGCCGATACAAGCAAACACTGTGCATTAAATGAAGGATGATATCACAAAAATTATTTATTGAACAAAAAATAGTTTCACAAAAATTTGAAAATCCATCAAAAATTAAAGCCATTGTAACTCATTAAGTTAATTTATTGAATTTACGAAATTCGGTAAAATTGAGTTACGGATTAATTGAACTATATTAAAAATTCTGATTTTAAGTTCAGAATTCGAAAAAGGAATTGAAAATTAAAAAATGACTTTCAGCTAAATAATAACATCGAAATCTGAATTTCCGATTAGAAAAAGATGCAATTTTGCTTGTATTTCATCTTAGTTAGTATACTAAATTTCAATTAATTTAATTCGTCAATTTAATCCACTTTGTCTATTCTGTAATTCATCTTACTTTCTTCTCTATTCATATATTCTTTCTTCGTTACTTTGCTGACCTCTTATGTTTCGTTATCTCCACCACAACCAAACAAAAAGAACGAAACTGTCATTTGATGGAGTATTTCCATTTACGGATAGTGATGATTGAAATAAATTAACATTAGAATAAATTACTCTTCTTATTAGTAAAATTAGACTGAAATATCGGAATTGTAAGTATGAGTTGTTTTGTGAATTGTATTTCAAAAAATTCAAAAACAAATTGTCAACAACTTAGGACTGTGTGAGGCTTTTTTGTGAAGAGGAGAGATGGATTTGAAAATTACACTAATTAACTCAAATTCAATGAGGAGTTATTTTAAGTAAAGCAAAGGTAAACTGTTTTAATTTTACTTAAAGTGATTATTGAAAATTTATTAGTGCTATATAATTAAAGACTTCAGATTTCAGATAATTGTATTGGAATAGATTTATTACTTCATATGAATTTTTCACTTTTTACTCGAAATTTTATGAATTTTCAGCTCAATATTTTATTTTTATTTTTATTAGTAATTCTTTGGTGTACAAATTTTGAACGTTTTGGCTGCCCCAATGTTTAGAAGATTATGTACGAAATTTATGTATGTAAAAATATGTATGAGAGAATTTTAATTTTTGAAAATAGACGAGGAAGATGTCAAGAAAGCTCAATTAAATTCTAAAAGATTTTTGAAAGAAAAAATAGACTAACACAGAATGATATTTTAATCTGCCTTATATTTGAAGGATAAGAGATTGCCAAATTAAAAAATTATTTTTCATTCTTGCAAGTCGTGAAAACAAAAAAATTATCATTTAGCATACAAATTACTAAAAGTTCTTGAAATTAATGAAAAGGAAGTGAAACTACTACCTTTTCATTAATTTCAAAAATTACCCGACAAACGATTGCTTCATGAAGTTAGTTTGCTTACTTTCAAATTAAAACAATAGTGTCGAGTAAAAAAAAAATTTTTAGCAAATTTCCATTTATAGGCTTAATAGTTTTAATGTTACAATTAGGGACACTTAAGATTCTGGCAGAAGTATAAACGTCGATTTGATCATTTGATTGAATTCAATTTCATTCATGAAATTAATCCTTTCAGTTTGTACAAAATTTCTTTATCACCCTGATGCTTTCTATGCATTGTCCTTTCTCTCTTATGCATTCATGAACAGTCTGCTTGAATTAATTTCTGAACAGTCTGCTTGACTTGTTGAATTTTTTATATTTGCGAAAAACAAAAGAAATTTCTTCAGCGATAATTGTTCTTGTAACGAAAATTGCTGATAAATTAATTGAAAGCATGCAAAGGCTGAATTCGATTAATATCATCTTAATCTTCCAAAAATTAAAAATGGAAGAAAGCTGAAGAAGAATTATCAGATAAGGGATTAAAGATTAAAAATGAAAAAGATGATTCAGAGGTAATCCAATACTATTGAGGTAAAAAGATGATTCAACGGTAGTCCAACTACCATTGAAGTAAAAAGATGATTCAGAAATAATCCAACTACAATCGATTAATATTTTTCTTCGCTTGTTTGTTTTACTGCGCCTAGAAGATCATATATTAAATAATTCAAATTCTTAATTGGAGTTTTTTTCCTCATAAAAGATTAACTAATTTAATGTTAGTGAGGTAATCCCTTCCTCTCTTCTAACTGCCATAAACGTTCACTTTTTTGTTTCTAAAATTATTTGAGATAAACAAAGAATTAGTGACAGTTTCAGTGATACTATCTGATATAATACCTATTTTGATGCAATTTTGTATGAAAATGTTGAAAATATAGCGCATTTCTATCATATTTTATGTTTGCGTGAAATTTTTATTAATTTTTTTTGTGTAAATTCTTTTCTTTAATTAAAAATATTTATTATTAGTTTGAATAATTTTTATTTACATCTTTTCTTTAGTAAAATGAATATTGCTTTTCTTTCATTCAAAAAAACAATGAACTTTTATTATTCAACAGACTCTTAATGATTTCTATTGTTATTATTGTGTGATAGAGAAAGATTATGAATGATTCCAATAAATATTGATGAAATTATCATCATTGATTAGCTTGTCATTATCACTCGAACAAATCAATTAGAATTGCTTAATTGCTTTTTATAAATCCATTAAATTTACTCTAAAAAATATCCTCAAAATTCAAGAAAATGTGCGATTCTTTGATTTCACCACTCATATTATATTTGCATTTGAACAAAAATGGCTGGCGCAACTGTCAACTATAACTTATATCTAATTCATAAGATTTACAAAATAAAAAAAGAAATTTTCTAGTCTTCTCTAACAAAATGGAATTCATTCATTCCCATAGTATTATCTTTAAATAAAAAATTCTCTTTTCTCAGTTTTATTCTTCTTAAAAAAATTAAATTTAATGATTAATATATATTTGTTTCATTTCTATAATTGCTATACGAACAAATAATTCAATTGAATGAATCAATTATGTATCTTTTCTACACTAATTTTTTTCCACCGCTGTATGAATATCAGCGTCTGATTCATCTTTTTGGATCTTTTTTCCCTGTGATGATAATTTATGATTTCCAACGTTTCTTGATGCCTTATTTCTCAGAGAAATTGATTTAACCATATTTATTTGACCTTTTGAATTCGTTTCCTTTTTTTGCATAGCTGGAAAAAGCTTTGAACAAATTTTAAGGCAAATTTTAGCACATTTTATTTATTTAAATTTATAATATTTCAGTTAGTTTCAGTTTCAGTTAGATATTGAAAGAATAGTTTCAGCTAATAGTAAAAATAATAGTGCTTACGCTGTGATAATGAAATTGATGACGATAATCTTGCTGTTGGACTATTTATCTGAAATATTGAAGTTGAACAAGAAGCCAATAGAAGTAACAAAATAAAAGTAAATTTAAGAATTAAGAATAACCGAAACAGAATGAATTATTTCGATTGTAAAATTAATAAAATCAATTTTAAATATTATCAAATTCGTTTTCATTTTTGACATATAATATTGTCTTTTTTGAAGTTTTTATCAACAAAAATATTTTCCGTTAATAAAATTTTTTTAAAAATAAACAAATTTCGAAATTCAATTTATAATTAACCTTATATTTATCCAAAAATTGTGAAATAAGACGTTTCAACAGGACCAAATCATCCATTAATGGATAATACTTACTAAATTCATCGCCGTAAACTAAAGGAAATTGTTGAAGCTTATTTAATGATTCTTCTAATTGAGCCATTCTCCTCAATAGCTGAAAAAATAAGAAAAGAAATGCTATACTACTGTTAAAAATTAAAAAATTTTATTCTAAACTGCTAAAATGCATTAATTAAAACAATTAAGTAATCAATAAAAAATTAGTGCTTAATTAGGAATAAAACAATCACCTGGTGGTACACTTCAAAATTAAAGTAAGAAAATGTTAAAATAAGAAAATAAAAATTTGATTTCAATTATTATTCATTCTATCCAAAATTCATTGCAGTATTTGTAATTAAACAATTCAAACAAACATACAACAGTTAAGTTCAAAAAAAATTTAGACATAGAAAAATTAAATTCGAATGAAAGTTGAAAATAAAAGTTTTCAAATAGTTTTCATACTTCTTCATGTTCTTCTTTGGTCCAAACAGCAAAATCTTTCGTCAAGAATTTGGCTTCTTCCTCAAATTTCTCATCATTTAGAACAATTTGATGAAATTGATTGGCTAACAAATGTTGCTTGCACATTGCTATTTTAATTGCTGTCACGTAGTCGATGATATCAGTTATTGGAAACTACAAATATTAATTATATCTAATTGTTTCATTTTTTATTTTCTTTTGAAAAATGTAAACTTTTAAAGTAACAACAGAACAATTACTTCGAAATGTATTGGTAGCGAATACAAAAATAACGAAATTAGAAAGTGCATAATTATTTCTTTTGTTTCATAGGGTCCAATCTTTGCCCCTTTTAGCATGCAAATTTGAAAGAGAAGTTTTATACTTCGATCTCACACTATCGATTTTATTATCAATTATCATTTTAATTATCATTAGCAACTATCTTTTATATATATAAAGTTTCGGGAAATCAATTCCAATCTAATGAGCAAAATATTTTGTTCCTTGTCGTTATTATTTATTTGTTGCATTTATTTCTTTAATTATCGATTTGTTTATTTATTTGTTTGTCTATTTACATTGAAGATAATAAAAATTAACTACTGCATCATTTGGAAATAAAACTGTCGGAAAATTAAGAGAATAACTTATACAAATTTGATTTGATGGATTTCAATTCGGTATCAGTTTGATATAGAGTATTCCCTTTCTTATACCAATCATCTCTTATCTTATCAATCACCAGCTCTCTTATCTTATCAATCACCATCAGCTTTTCTATGTTATGAAATCTTTGAAAACAAAATTTTCATGCAAATTATGAAAACCTCAATGCCAATTTCTTCCGCTTCTGCATCTTCTTTTATATGCATTTCAATGTTTGCAAAGCGCAATTCCAATTGCATCAGTTCCGTGTCAATTTGTTCAAATTGATTTGAATCACCCTGTGCTATTGATGATAAATCAGTTGCTGATAAGAATGAAGTTGAAAATGAGTAATATATTTATCATCTGCTTGATGTCACATTTTATTTCAATTTTTTAACCTTTATTTGTATTTCTTCAAACTTTTGAATATTGTAACATGATTCAGACGATAATAATAATAATATTTCTTCTAGAAACATCAAATAAGTTGAAAAATATACATATAGGTGTCTAACTACAAAGAAACGACTTAATTTAAACCACTCACCTTTATGTTTTAAGTATTGATGCTACACATCATGTCTTTCATTTAATTAAAAATATGATCTTTAAATCATATTTGAAATTTCGAAAATCTTCAGAAAAACAATGAAAAGAAAGTTAAGCCTGATAATGTATTTCCATCATTTCCATGCTAGAAATATTACCGCTCACAACGTTTGTTTGACTTGAATGATTTTCCGGTATAGCATGTGATTTAGCTTCTAGCATCGTCAGCTGCACATTTACATCGGAAATTAATTGATCGAATCGCTTCATGAACTGTTTTGATACAATTTCTTCGCGTTGTTTGCTGACCTGTTGTTAATATTTTTTTACTATACCTTACTGATGCTTACTGTTGTAGGAATGTAATGCTTATGCTTATTGTTGTGAGTAATATTTCTGAGAGTGAGTGAAGTAGAGACGTTTTTTGTAAGTTTAGAAAATATATAAAATATTTGGGAATAATTATTCACTTATAAGTTTCGTATTATTTTTTATAAAGATATTTATTTATATGAGGAATGGTGAGATATGATTAACCGTTTTAATTTGATAGCTAATAAGAATTGTAAACTAATTTTGGGTAACTATTTTAATTTTGCCTCAGATAAATGATCATACAACACTAAGCTTAAAGGAATAGACAACAAAAGGAAGGAAATTTTTCATACAGAAATAAAGTCGTTCAAGAAATCACTTTCATGTCTTCCGTATGCTTTGTAAAAACTTCTTTCCTGTTGCTCGATTTTTGCCAGAGTTTCATTTGCAGCTCGTATAGCCTTCGTAAGGTTATCATCTTAATTTTTGAAAAATAAAAGATGTTCCCTTCTCTCTGATTTCTTAGGATTTAAATAGTCAGGAGAATATTTATCCCGAACTAGCACATAAAGATATTTTAAGGTTTCTCTAAATTGTACTTTCCGATTCCCATTTGTTGATAAGCTTTTTTTCTCTTAATACGAACCAAGGAGTTATCCACGCGATTCTTGGTTCCTTTAGAAATTGAAAATTTGTTGTCGTTCACGAAACTCAATCTTTTAATTAATTAACTTAATAAGACTTATGAATTTTCGGGAAAATATAGAATTTTCGGAAAGTTTTCAAAACAACCTCCGCATACATATACCTTTCTGGAAACTCGTTCTCGACATTTCAAATCAAACTACCACTCACTTCGGTGTTGTAAAGAAACAACAATTTTTGAAGAATATTCATATTTTTAAAGACTTTTTATAAGGCGCAAATTTTCGTAAATGAAATTTTTTAAGCCCTGCTACATTTGCATAATTTCCTTCATTTTTTGGAAAAAATTATGCAATTTTTTGATCAATAATTAGGAAATAAAAAAAATGTTGAAGTTTATTAATCAATAAATATATTGTATTAATTGTTTAATTCAAATTCAAACAGTTTTATTTACAATGACGGTGAAAGAATTAAAATACAGCTTTTATAATGACGATAAAATGAGAACAAAGAACTTAATATTTTACTAAGAAACTTCAACCAGTTCTATGCCACCAATTTTTTCGAACAAATTCAAAATTCTTTGTCATCCGAATAACAACAGAACAGATAATTTTGATTATAATAATAAAAAAGGCATGATCTAAGTTCTTATGACACAGTGTAATATCTAAATCTAAGCCTAAAGTTAAATTGCTAAACAAATATCACACAAAACAGACTTTATGTAAGATAAGTCCTTAAAATAAAACAAATTCCTTTCTTAGCGAGTTTCAAATTTCCAAAATCCAATTTTTCACCTAAAACACAGCAACTATACATATAAATTAACATGATATGAATGAAATTAAAGACTATAATTTTATATATTTTATAAAACGAAATATGTAAATTTACAAGAAAATCTGCAAGCACATAATTCTTTTTCAGAAAAAAACCAAAAGTTACCCTTTAAGAATTTTTTTTTCCGGAGAGCTAGTAAAGAGCAATATAGTATGTGACTAAAACTCCAAACTTAATTGCAATACGGATCAGATGTCTGTGTTTCCGCTTCCACCTCCAATTCTCCTATTTCATCTTGTTCGTCAGCATCCAAAATTTCAGTCTGGTTTCGTGTCAACAAAAGCTTCGATGTAAGCGCATCAATTGCTTCCCATAGGCCTATACCGGTCATTGCATTGCATTGATGGATCACCACCGTTCGTCCTATAAGAAAAATAGATTCGTTTTTTTTCTTAAATTAAAAAATAATTGGATTTTAAAACTTCAGTGATATCATTATCAAATTATTTATTATTTAATTTGAATCATTTATTTTAACTCGAATAGTGTCAAACCGCGATTGGAGGCCAAAAGTGATCATACAACTTTCTAAAAGGCTCACGGTAACAGTATTCCACTTTAATTCATCGCTTGGATAAGTTACATTTTTGTCGGTCCATTTAATCTTTCAGCTAGCCAACAGATGGGATAGCACTCTCTTTTGCTTAAAGATCGGAGATTTACTGGTTTACTTCAACAAACACGAACTGTTGCCGCTTTCAGATTATGACAAGATTTCTAATCCTATTTCACGAGAAAAGCTCATTCTCCATCTTCTCCATCGATCATGATCACCAAACTTACCAGCACTAAACCGATTAATATTCATAACAAGTTGGTCAATAGCAGCCGAACTGACTGTACATTGCTGATTAACGGTTGTTGGCTGCCGTCTATTCAAAATGACCAAAAAGCATGCATCGACAAGTTCTCGCTCGGCGAATATCTTCGCTAGTTCATTTTGAGCTTCTCCAAAGCGGCTTGGACATGAACTGTCGATAACAAATACAAGAGCTATAAAACTTATTATTCATTCCAAAATGAAATATATCATGCTATGAAAAAACTATTTCTGCTACATCAAAGATGACAGCAAGAGAAATTTCAAAAAACAGATATTTCGAAAATTTTGTAGAAAGTCAACAATACTAAATATAATTTGTTCCTTTTTTGGGAATTTCAAAGGAATTTTTATATGGCAGTAATTTTAACTTGATTGAAAGTCAGGAAACTTTTTAAATATTCTAAAAAAAGGCACCAATATTGTTTATGAAAATTACAATTTTTTAAAATTTGCAATTAAGCAAACGCCTTCTTACTGCTAACAAACTTTTTCCTACAGAACTTGGGGATTACCTAATAAAATGTTTTAATCAAGCAGTTAGAACAAGTGGATAAATTAGTCATCCCTGTAAAAAAATTTTGGAGAAGCTTTACTCCCTAACGTACAACAGAAACAAACACCATACTTTTTCAATTTCCTCCTAAGCAACTGTATTCTTGATGCTGCATTCAAATTACTATTTTTTAAATCTTACTAAAAATTTAATCCTAAACATGCAGCAATTAAGTACAACGAACCTTGAGTATTCATAAAATAATGTTTCCAAAGACGACGCAACTTCGGCACACCACCAACATCCCACATTGTGAGTTTGAAATTCTTATATTGTATTGTTTCCACATTAAATCCAACTGTTGTTGTCAACTGTCTGCAGTCATCGCTCTAAGAAGTTTATTCCTTTTGAAATTAGGAATAACCCAGCCTCAAAGAAAAAGCAACAACGTTTGATGAGAAAATATATATTTTATTTAAACAAATAAAGCATTTGTTTGCCTTTAACTTATAAAGTATCGTTGTTTTTCCAGCTCCATCCAAACCGAGAATAACCAAACGAATGTCAACATTTGAACCCATATGAATTCGATTATCAGCTGTGAATGAAAATGGAATTCTCGTATCCAATGAGAGACCACCTTAAATAAAAATAATAAGAAAAAAATTAAAACTTTTATTGAACACATTTGAATTCAAATATTTTTTAGCGTATAACTTGAAATTAAATTAATGCGTAAAAACAGATGACAAGACTCTTAAGAAAATTATCACCATAATTCCCAACTCACTACATCGAAATCCAAAAAACTAACGAATTGAACTAATAAGATGCTTCGCAAATGCCGTTTAAATTACCGATAGTTCAATCATCAAATGCAAACGAATATCTATGTTTGATGCTTACTTGGGGCGGAAGCGATATCACTTTGATGGGTATGTACAGCATTAAGCATTTTGATAAGATCAGTTTGTTGCTCAATAAGTCGAGCATCATCCATTTCTGAGCTTTCTTGCAATTGTGCTGATACCGCTGTAACCTAAACAAATATTTTTTTTTCTTTTTTATATTCAACTAATAGTGGTTGCCAAGAATTAATGAGCTCGAAGCATTTTGTTACTCTAATTCCAATCATGAATATCAAACAAAACTAGTTTGATGTAAAGAAAATAAATAAATCAACTCCGAACATCAACAAGAAGTCTAAACTGAGCCAAAAAGAGAACAACTTGCATTATATTTAATTAACTCTTTTGAATCACCCACATCTCCAACCGAATAATCAAACCTGTGAAGTGATGAAAGCTAGCTCCTGTTGATGTTGTCGAAGAGCTTCAATTCGATCGGCAACATGTGCATCCAAACGTGCCATAGCCGTCTGCTCCTGAAGCTCAAGTTCTTCACGCAATCGTCGAAAATGAGCTTCAATTTGTCGTCGCGCACTGGCATGAGATCCCTCATTCATATCAATTATTTCAGCTACTGTTCTGCAAGTTAGTAATAAAGAATGTTTGAACACTTAATATACGCTAAGATGCAATATGATATTTAGCAGAACGACGTTATCATTTTTAAAGTTCACCATAAATTTTTCATAAGTTATTTATAATCATTATTTTAAACGGAGCTATATATGAATAAATCTCAAAGATAAACGACGTTCACCTGCTGACAACTGTAACACGAATCCCAATATTAAAATTACAAAAAAGCGAAGAAAACTCACTGCGTCACTCGGACATTCCATCCATTGAGATCATTAATAAAACTTCGGAAATCTGAAAGAGCTTCACGAACCCGTTCTCTTAATCCACCAGCTTCAATTTCTAGGAGAGAATGTCGATGATTCCGATGACGTCCGTAATCGCGACATAGTAAACACATCAGACGATTATTTTCCAGACATTCTACCTCCTAAAAATTCCACGGTTTGCACAGGATACCGCTAATTAATCGCTAGAATTTCAAGCCGTTATAAACATGTATACATGCATACACATGAAGTACGAATTTGTAAAAAAATGTCAAACCATTTCATGAAGAAGTCCATACTGATAACGCAATGTCGAATAATAACTTGCAGAATATTTAAACAAAGCTATCACCAAAAGTCACTTTAATAAGTTTATTTTGAATAAAAATATTTTACAATCTATTCGTTTTCGACATATAGTAAATCATTTGTGACCAATAAATTTACATGTCATCTGTATATCACTTACCATGCTACTGATACTCAAAACATTTCACAAACAGCAGAAATTTCTGGTAACAATCTCATTCACAATATGTACTCATTTTTTAATACGACTCATGAATGTTTTCATGTCCACAGAAGTTCTTCTTCGAAGTTAATTATAGAAAAAAAAACAACCTGGCATACGAATTCGATAGCATATGCTGAATGATAAGGGCACATCGTTCGGGAAAGTGGTTTTTCGCTAACGGGTACACGACAATGTTTCGAAAGTACCCGTCCCGTATGCGTTCGTTTTGAACATTCACCACACATATTACTTTCGCAAACTATACAATAAAATATAGCGGTATGTTTCGGATCTTCATCACACGGTATGCCAAGTAAGATATCCTTCATATATTCTGGTGGTGGCACTTCATCCATCTAAAAAGTTTAGCTCACCAAATCTGACATACAGCACCTAAACGTTAGTGGAATAAGAGAAAAAGAACTTCACTGTGCATAAAATGATTTTCTACATATCGCAATATGCCGAGTTTAAAACATACATTTCCTTAGTTAATAAAATGAAATCACGTTTCTAACATAGAGCGATGGCAAATGTCCATCGTTGGAGCAGGATGAGACTAATTTCTGTTCCTATAAAAGATAAGTTGCTTGGCATTAGATATGCTTACTAACTAAGCAAATTGTTCACATGAGTTTTCTGATTTAAATTAACACAAAGTATTTGAACTTAAGCTCATTGCGTCAAGAGCACACATTCTTAATTAACTAAATCAATCGAGTGAAAGGTAACAATTTGTTATCTTGCTACCATACTACCAGGAAATGGAGGCAAAAAACTCGCGAGATTTTCAATTTTCAACATATATTCGCGCCCTTGGTAATAATAATTTAATGTCCAATGGGTTGATGATATATTTGAAACTTACAAGTAATGGCGATACCCGGTCCGGTTGCGTGAATTTCTTATGTCGTTCAATTATTTCGATAAGCGCAAAATTTTTTTTCAATGAAAGCACACATGGTTCAGCAAGCAGTGTAACTGTTCGATCAAACGGACAAACAACTTGGGCAATAGGTGCACTGACATCAACCAAAGCCGAGCAGCACGTTTGACAAACCTGAAATGTTTAACCCACAATTAAAAAGCAAGTTCTCGAACGTTCATTCTGAAAAGTAATAAAAATATTTATATAAACACAGTACATCAAAAACAAAGCATTTTAAGTGAATCGATAACTGCAATAAACATAACAATTAACTATTAGCTTATTTTGTTGTAAAAAGAGCATTTACGTAAGTTTTCAACAAACATAAGAATATTACCATTTAAGTAAGCTCTTATACTAACCATATTTCGGTATTACATTTTTATACTAACCATATTTCGGTATTACATATATATCTATATATCGTGGTTATACCTATATTTTAACTGCCACTATTGGAAGCAGATTTATAGTACAAAGTTTAATAGGACAAACTATATATTAATGACGTTCGCTACTTTATAAATTATATCCAAGGTACGGTGAACACCATTAATATCATAAATTAAATAACTATCTGATCAATTTGCATCTCCTGACAAATTTCCATATATCTAACAAGCTTCAAACCCCAAATAAATTTGAAATTTCAAATTTACCGTATGACCACAGCCGTGTAATACACGTGGTGTTCGAATTTCCGCAGCATAATTTTCGTGACATAGAGCACATTCTAATCCAGCGTCTGAGATATTACTCATTTTTCATACAGAAATATGAAACAAAAACAACTTATCTGAAAAAATTAAAGAAACAGAAAATGCATGGATCAAAGTAATCCTCAAATATCCAAAACTAGAAGAATGCTTTCGAAAAATTAAAATGATGCATTCAATAAAATCAGTTATAACTGTTTTTTTCGCCACCTTTAATCAATGTCCACATGCCGTTTATGTTCAAACTATGATCACATTGGAAAAGCCACATCATTTCATGCTATGCCATATCAAAGTCAACTCATTTGGTGGTGCAAAATGCTGAGAATTTGAATACCGATTGTAAGATATAAGGTATCACACTTTGCTGGAATGCATGTTTAATATTATCAAACAACAAAACAGAAAAGTACTATTTTACTTTTACCAGGGTATTTTTGAAAATTTTTACTGCAACTTAGAATGTGCTGAAAAAAATCAACAGATAACGCCTAATTTAAATCTCTTTTCAACTTAAAATATCTCTTCCCAATTTAAAATGTGCTATGCTTATATTAACGAATAACAAGAATATCTATCAAAAGGAAAATTCAATGGAATGGTCATGTGGCTCGTCCAATGTACCTCACAAATCGATGAGTGATGTCTGTGTGATCATGTTATCAAACGAAATAAATGACACTCATCAATCTCACAAAAAAATCGAAATCTCAATCAATAAGAACAGAAATGAACAATGGACACTTTCCAAGTATTAACACTTATTGAGAAAACTATGTTTTGGAAAAAACATTGGAAAACCCGTTAGATTAGAGAGAAAAAATAAATTGAAGCAAGATTAGAATGTTCAAGTTTATTGTTATCCCAGAAAGAAAACCAATAACAATAGAATATCAAGAAAATACAATCGATTTCTTATAAGAACATTTACCAAAGCTTCCGATAATAATTACAAATTGCTCAACAAATGTGTATCTATATCATTCATCTCTAAACATACTTCTAAATCGACGCTCAAAAATCTTCTCATGAAGTATTCGTTTCCTGTGGTCTTTCATCTCTTTTTCTCTTGTTGCAAGCCCTAAGTTCCCCGTGTTCACATCACTTGTCTGAAATTTTGCATTAATAACGAATACACTGAGCGAAAAAAAACCATTCAGATGATAAGATCAATAAAAACAAACTTCAGTACTTACAGTAATTGCCACTTCAGAATAATTTCACAACTCCAATCTTTTTACGAACTTACAAATACATGAAATTTACTTTTGCTTTTAGAAAGAAAAAGAGAATTAGGAATTAGAAAGTGCACATACCTTGAAATGAGTCACTTTACGTGCATCGAAGGTAGCAAAACCTAAGCCAAGCTTATCTCTCTTCAACATTGTTTTTATTGGATATCGCCGACCGGTCGCATCACGACCTAATCCTTCAAATTCATTCCACCCACTTCTTCGCAAAATACGATAACCTTTATTCCATTCTGGAATTCCATAGCCTTGATCGAGCACTGGTTTTCGGGTTTCCAAAAGATGTACTACACTGCTTAGATGAGCTTCTCCTACATAAGTACATTGACAGGCGTCACAAAAGCGTGTACTTTTTACAAGTTTTCCGGATTCTCTGATTTTTCGCAAGGATGATTCGGACGTTACCCTGGAATTCCTAAAGCATTAAAAAAACTTCTGAGTTGAGGAGTCACATGGTAATTCGACAGTGTTAATGATAAAGTGAGCCGTTAACAGAATTCCGGTAGTGATTTTACGCAAAATGCACCTTTAATTTCGACCAGTAACCTATACTACTAAGAGTACTACCACCACCGCGAATATCAGATACTGCCGATTAAGTAGCTCAAGGGGAATAAATTGCGCTAAAATATGACAAAAATTTCAATATCACAATCGATATAAAAACATACTCAGATTTCTCCTTTTTATATGAAAAAATATATCGATATATTTCATGATGTCCACATTTCAATGCAAAGTCAGCAGCTGTTTCACCTGATTTGCTCCTATATTATACTCGTAAGTTGATAAATTTTATGAACATTTATAATTCACTTGAGAAAAGATGTTTTATTAAGCACACAACATAATAGTTCTCTCGAACAAAAAAACTGAAAGTATATAAAAAACTTCATTTCTATATAAGAAAGTTCACTATTGAAAACAGGGGAAGAGATAAATTAAACATAATCGTTTGTTAGCTTGGACTGTAAATTACTTTTATCAGGTCGTGCCCATACCGGAATAATTTAGCTGTAACTATTAGTGAAATTAAATTCTGGGATTTATACGCATATGAATCGCCCTGGTTGCTTCCACAACCTAATTATACCATATAAACCAATTTGGACAATCGAAAAATTTTTAAAATGGTAAATGGATTACTTCGAATGACTCGACGTCTCATGAAAACGGAAAAGCCCTGATATACTAACCGTTTCGAAATATCTACTCCCATCGATAACAAATATTTAACAATATTCAAATGACCCGCATAACTTGCACACATCAGTGCAGTCCAACCATACTGATCCGATACATTACTATCCATCCCTGCAGTTTCCATGTCATATCACTTTCCATTGCTGATACTGACTACCATTCATTTGAAATCTTTAAGCATATTTCTATAAATTTCGATTGCCGTAAGGAAGAAATCGATACACATCACTTTTCTTTTTCTCACAATAAAAAAATTAGGCGAAGAAATATATATTACTGTTTATTACTGAACCACTTTAGAAGCTTTGGATTATTTTAGTAATTCAATTTCTTTAATTAGAAGTATGATGCCAAATATACCTTTCTCACAATAATCCATAATACCTTGCATATTGCCATTTGCGGCATTCTTGAAAAACTGCTCACAGTTTCTAGCAGTATCATCGTGCCTCTTTGAGATTTTATTCGATAGTTTCGTGAACTTCCAAGGATGTTGATTGCTATTCTTGATCTTCTCCAATTTCACAGTCATCGTAATATCCGGTACAACTACTGAAGTGGACGGTTCAGCCAGCAAAGTTTCGTAGAAAGATCGTATCTCTTTACCACAAATGGTTGGTCTCAAGGCGCTTTTCGCAATACCATCTTGTATACCAGTACTTGGATTTGCCCTAATAAACTGCATCTGTTTACATTTTCCAATGAGACATGTATTTCCTGACCAATCCATGGAAAAAATTCTGGTGAATGACCGCTAAAATAAAGAAGAAAAAATGAATTATATCTCATCGAAACGAGATATATGTGATATCTCTATAGAATTAGGATTCTACTCGTACAATTTTTTAAAGCATTTCATTTAAAAAAAAGAATCACTGATTGCAGCAATGGTAATTCAAATTTGACTATTAGAATGAAAGAAAAATAATGAACCAAAGATGCATGTGTTTCGATAAATATATAAAAGATATATAAAATATATAAAATATCTAGCGGCCAAATAGCATAGGGAGCACATTAAATAATAAACAATGAAAATATAGGTTTACACAAGGAAGTTTCATCATCATTTTACCAAATCCTCCTAAATCATGCAACGAAAACAATGCAGAGCGAAATCTTCCTATAAACCGAGATAAAAAAGTTATGATAAATGATGATGAAACCAATAAAAATCTAATAAAAATTTTCTTCTCCAATATCGAATAAAGTTAGGTTTAAACAAACCAAATCAAACTTTTCCTTTTAATATTGTATATTGATTTGTAAGTGTTGGCAGAAGCAAAAGATTCTATCGTTAAGCAACCTACAAAAGCATTCCCCCCGACATTTACTGCGATCCCATCCACTCAGTGGAAGTGAACTGGAACTGCTCAAAATCATTAATATTTGTTGCCAGTAAGCGGTTAGTTCACAATGAAAACGAAAGTCTCTGAATCAAAAATATTGTTCCCAAACTTCTTTAATACATTCATTTGGATATCCCTCGTTGTATTTAATATAAGACAACCAAAGATATCAAAAATTCGAGTAAATTAATTTTCACACTTATTCAATCATCCGGAAGACTTTGTTAACTGATCACCGTGCTTCGTTCCGCGTATTTGTTACCCTTTTTTGAAAATGGGCGATCCTTCCATATTATCAGTTCTTCCGGACATGAATGGATTCATTAATTCCGGACAATTTTTTAGTTTCTTTTTTCACTGTTATCAAGCAATATTTAGGACTTTATTCCTTATATCGCTAACTGTAAAGTTTATCATTCTCGTTATACAGAGTTTCATCCTTTTTTGTTCAAAATTTATGGAAGAATAATCTCTCTTGAAAGTTATGATATAGTAAGATATAAGGTTCCCAAAAAAATAAAAAATAAAACAAACGGCAATTGGGTTTTTATTATTATTATTAATCGATAGTTGACTGAAGCAGCATATAATTTGCATCTTTTTGGATTTTCCGAGGTAAAAATGAGTGAAAGCGGATGGTGCTCGCGGCATTTATCCAATCAAGATGTACATATCGTATGAAAAGTGTGTTTGTTGTTTTCCGAACTTCTCAATTGCGGCATTTACATATCGGAAGAAATCCGATATCGGTTGATTATGATAACACAAGCCCAATACTACAAAAATATGCGAAAAAAAACAGAAAATAATAGATTAATTCCGTTTTCGGTTGTCCAATTAAGAGGAAGTTGCATGGGCGATGTATTGCAATTAAACGGAACAACTATAAAATCGGTGCTTAATGTTAAACTTTACAAAATAGAGTTGCTTTTAATGTTTTAAGGATATCTTTTCATGATTCGAAAACATGAAACTTGCAAAATTCATTGCAGCTGATAAACATGCTATAAGCGTCGAATTGAATTGTACCAAGCAAGCGTTAGAAGAAAAACAACCATCGGACAGGGATTAAGCATTGGATAGCATAAATGGCCTGATAGAAAATATCGAATAAAGATGTGCTCAATATGATATAATAATAAGCGCATCTCAGATGATAGTTAACTTCATCAATTCATTGTTATATAAGCAAATTTAATCGTCAAAACCCTGATTAAATGCATTAAAACAAATGGTTAAAAGAGTTGTCATGTTGAAACCAATTTCTCATTCGGTTACATTCCGCAAATAATGTTATTTAAGCGATGCGGCAGAACTACGCTGTATCCGTCAATAATTCTGATTTATAGACTAGTTAATGATTACTTCGTGACTGATAATAAATAGATTGGATTAGTTGACAACAAAATTCACTTTTAATGAGCTGCCTTCAGTACAGCAACTTGAAGATACGTAAACTTCTACTACTTTTCGCAACAATTACCTTATATTAGCAATTACTTTTTAATCAAATTCAAACTCGGCGGAATATATGCAATTGCAGAATCCTTCATTACAGCAATTCATTGTGATCGGTTAACTGTATCTAAGTATTAAACAGCGTAAAATCAATGTTGAGCAATGCAGTAAGCTTCTGATAAATTTGACTAAACTAAAAAAGAGAAATACACGATTAATTAATTATAAGTCAGTATTGCTAATAATATTTTAACCAATTTGATCGAAATATTACTTATTTCCCCACACATTTATTTATGCAGCGTATGCGATAGATATGATCAGTTCGTTTGTTCTGATAATTATGCAATTTTAAAATAATGGTGAAAAGATCATGCCACCGTTTCAAGTTCAAGCGATCGCTGCGTTGGTACTGCTAATCGTACCACGTGTATGTATTTTTTTATTACGTCTTCCAAGTGGTTCATTGAACAATACTGCGTTCATTGTAGCTACTATTCAGAGCAAGTATAATATTGATTGATTGATTGATTGAATACTTATAATTATTTCTTGTTTACTGATTATCAGTTCACCAACGATAACGATTTTATCATTGGCTACTGCTATATTCCTCAATTTTTGGCCGGAATATAACGCAGAAAAAAGAGAACAAAGACACTTTGGTTACTTGATTAGTTTACGTAAAAATCGAGCAAATCAAAATAAAGAGATTCAAAAAACGTATTGGAGGATAAAAGGAGGGAAGAGAACGGTAAAAGTAAAGTTCCATGTATCCAATTCCGGATAAATTTTGCAACGACTATTTTATTTTCTATCGGTGTGGACCGGGTTACCGTCATTTTAAAATCTGTAGGATAAGTAATTGGACAGAACAATTAAGTTCAATCTCACAGCGGTGGCAGTAGTTAAGCTTCTCAAATAACACAGTTCTTCCGAAATCAAATGTATTTCTGAATAAGAAGTATGACGATCTCTGCAGATGTCGAAAAGTAAAAATAAGTTTTATATCACAACAATGACCCTACCAACTCTACCTTATGCAGTCGCTATGCTTATATTAGCTTTTATAAATGATGAAAATGACAAGTAATCTGAATTTTATAGATATATAGCCAGTGATATATAGCCAGGTAAAACTTTAGAATTGAATTAATGCGGCCAGAATAACGTGCCAGAGTGTGAGACAGTCGAGCCGTTTCGCTTCCTTTATGCTGATATAGAAAAAATAAATATAATAAATTTCTTTACTTGTTAAGAAAAATATGAGAGGAAGCACTGATAATAGAGATATGAGGGATGTGAAAGAGAATGACTTGTTAATAAAAAGGGTAACGAATAAAAATCGAAAAGTAAACAAGCAAAGTAAACATACGAAATGTTTAGAACAGAAAAGCATTTCTAAATATTCCACATTGGAAATGTGAGCTAAACGCTCTACTTCATATTTATTTTCTTAATTATCGTCAACATGTTACCTTCACTTGCAGTGCCGAAGTAATCTGTGTTATTTTTAGTGGCGGTATACAGTATACAACGGTCAATTAGATTCGATTTGGGGCATTATGTCAACCCTTATTAATTTAGCAACAATTATTCTTTGTGCAATATTGAGTAGTGAAGGCTAAAACAAGTGAGTTATTTAATTAACTAATCATAGGCGTACTAATATTTCGCGATCTCCATATTATATATTACATATATCCGTGTGTTACTGATAGTGTTAACGCTGATATGTTATAGCTGATATTACTGACAAAGAAACCTGTTTTGCAGTATACTTATTCGGTATGGATTGATTGTTTATTTTGACTAATATATCACCCGATCTCATTGTTTCCTGCCAATGCTACCATCCTACCATGCTAATAACTATGTGACCATAATTGTTTTGAAGTTCAAAGTTCAAAGGAATCTATCCCACAATTGCAAGAAAACTGCACTGAAATCTGATCTGCATATGCTTACTTCTGAAAACCTATATTTTGCCATTCCATACACACACATATATAAATAAGCCGTTGAGAATTTTTCGCCTCTGTACTTGCATTTAATTTTACCAGCATAATTAACTTGTAAACGTCTTAGTGTCTTTTAGATACCTTATCTCCCACTCTCTTTCTGTATTACTCTCAAGTTGTCTTAAAAGATCAAAAATCCCAACACAAAGGAACTCCAGCCTGTTTGGAACTGATTTTATTGTAAAAAGGGAAAAATTACTTTATGAATGGTCATGGGCATGTCGGCTTTTTTCTAATATATTATTAAGATCGAAAGTTTTGCAGCCAGGCCTGAAATGATAACGTGTGATTGATCCTTACTTTTCGGCTAACTGCTGCATGTATCGCATCGGTGTATTCTTTATCAGTTGCAGTAAGTTGCACCTTCATTATTAGAAACATTCAAAATGAAAATGTGGAAGATTGCATCTTCCCAATTTATCCAGATGTGACTCAGCACAGGATTCATACCTCAAAAGAAAATATTCTGTTAAGCTGTTAAACTCAATATGTAAAGTCGAGTTTTATTGTCGACCGCGATAATCACATCATTAATGAACAGCCTGCCAAGCATTGCTGAGCATGGCAAAAATTGTATTATTTTTGGTGGTGTCTGCAATAAAACTACTCTGACAACCATTTTCACGTAGATCTTAATGATGATTCTTTAAACTTATCTGGTAATTTTTCTGTAAGATTAATGAGATTATTATGAAGTGTTGTTAAAGAATGGTTCAATTTCTAAGAGTTTTAAGCAGTACAACTTGATTTAATTCAACTCAATTCTGTCATATCATGTAATCGTCTGAATTAAGTATATTTTATTCCGCTCATAATACATTTTATATATATATGTTTATTTATCCTCAATAGTACAAACTGCGAAAGTTACCACCATTTCCTTATGTACACTCTACCACCACTCTTTGACAAATACACTAACAATGAACAAACTAATGCCTCACTCACTTTTATTTTAAAAAAAAGAAAAAGGGAATTAATCAATACAACTGGAAATGACTGTTTCAGTTATCATTGTAGCACGTTTAACAATGCACGGATAAAAATATCAAAATGATAAAACAGAATTTTGCATTCTTCATTGATGAATTTATAACGCTTCTAAAAACAAGCCGACTTACAATCGCATCCGCAACCGTATGCACAGCAGTTGTTTTCCTTGAACCAAATCACCATATGTTCGCTATGTCCACCATGTCCACACAGAGCACATACCGTCAGCATACCTGCATAACCTCAGCGAATTAAATAAGAAAATCGAAATTTTAACAATAATGAAGTGTAGTAAGAAAATAAACTAAAAAAACCTATATCCAAAAAACAAGCTTTTCTTTGTTTTATGTTTTCTTTTCTTTTTCTATTCAAGAAAATGCGCACATTCGTAAATTAAACAAGAAAAATAGAATAAGGAGAAATGCAAATTCAGCACCATCAGCTCGCTGACTCCATTCATTTGTCGTGGCTAATTGTCGTAGCAGATTTTGTACACGTTTACTATACATTTCGATGGATTCATTCATTTCCCAAATCTGTGATTTGAAATGTGATAAG